TACAGGTAGTCCTCGCTTAATCAATTCACATGACTTGGAGAAACTAATATCATAGCTTATCATATATAAATTAATCATAGCATGCATATATACCGTGTTTTCTTGAAAATAAGACCCAACCAGAAAATAAGCCCTAGCATGATTTTTAGCAAGTGCCTAATATAAGCCCTAGACCAGACATGTCAAACACAAGGCCCAGGGGCCGGATGCGGCCCTCAAAGTGGTTTCATGTGGCCCGTGAAGCCATCCTGGAAACAATGAGGGAACGGCCCCTTCTGCCTTGGCCCTGGCCCAGGCCATCCGGGAGCCAATGTACAATTTTGTGGTGGCCATTTATGCTGAAATGCATTTAGTCTTAGCTCCACAAGGCCGTCTAGAAACAGTGAGGAACCAGCTCCTGCTGTGTCAACCCCACAAAGCTGGGTGCATGCTTTATGAGGAATGAAGAAATGGACCATGCTTAGCGCTTGCCCCAGTCCCACCCCCTTCTGCCAGAGACCCTCAGATCTGTCCCACTCCTGCCCAGGCCCCCGCAGGCACCCTTGACATGAACAATGTAGAGCTGGCCATGCCCACCCAGTAGGCCACACCCACTCCATCCATGCCCACCCAGTAGGCCACACCCACCCGGCCCCCCGAGGGCAACCGCAATGCTGATGCGGCCCTCAATGAAATTGAGTTTGACACCCCTGCCCTAGACCCAAAATAAGCCCGTTAAGAACCTGGGGTGTGTGTGTGTGTGTGTGGAGCTGCCCCACGCACCCCACACCTGCGTACCTCAGGACCCCGCAGCCAAGCAACTGCTGCTTGGTGACCTCCCCTTGTTTGTTCAATGACCCAGCTGCTCGCCCACCTCTTCCCTTTCACTCCCCTCCCGAGCCAGACTGCCATGCTACGGAGGATGGGCAAGGGAGGCTTGGCCCCCTTACCCCTCTGCCATTTTGGAGCCAGGGTGGAGTGATGGCAAAAGGCCTCCACCACATTGCTGCTGGAGGGGTTTTCTTTGGTCTCCACTGCCCTTGCCCGGCCCTGCAGATCACCTGCCCGCCGGCAGCCGCCTCCCCTTCCTCCGCCTGCCACTTTTGTCCTATGGTGCCGCCTCACACTGCCTACTCCCCGGTCACTGCCTGTATTGTATGGTTTCAATGGCAGCAGCTCTGGAGACCAATGGTAGGAAGCTGTGACAAGCAGAGCAAGAGAATCTTTCTCCAACCGCGAAGGGGACTAGGTGGCCGAAACTGCCAGCCCAGGGATGATGCAGAGCCTCAATTCTAAACATTATGGCAGGCACCGCTCATCACCTTGCCAATATCATCCCAACAGTGAAGCATGTTTGGGGGGGGGGGTGTTTCAGCAGCAGGAACTGGGAGATTGGTCAGGGTTGAAGGAAAGCTGAAAGCAAAGTACAGGGATATCCTCAATAAAAACATGTTCCACAGAGTTCAGGACCTCAGATTGGGCCGAAGGTTCATTTTCCAACATGACAACGATCCTAAACACACAGCCAAGACAACACAGGAGTGGCTTAGGGACAACTCCATGAATGTCCTAGAACAGTCTAACCAGATCTCTAACTTGAACCCTATTGAACATCTCTGGAGAGACCTGAAAATGGCTGTCCACCGACGGTTGCTATCCAACCTGACTGAGTTTAAGTGGATTTGCAAGGAAGAATGGCAGAAAATCCCCCAATCCAAGTGTGCAAAGCTTGTCTTATCATACCCCAAAAGACTTGAGGCTGTAATTGTTGCCAAAGGTGCTTCAATAAAGTACTGAGTGAAGGGTCTGAATACTTATGCCAATGTGCTATTTCAGTTTTTTCTTTTTAATAAATTTACAAACATTTCTAAAATTCTGTTTTCACTTTGTCATTATGGGGTACTGAGTGTTGATTAATGAGAAAAAAAAAGATTTTCAATAACTGTAGAATCAGGCTGCAACATAACAAAGTTGACAAAAGCGAAGGTCTGAATACTTTCTGAATGTTCTGTACACACACTCACTCACTCATACACACACAGGTAGTCTTAGACTTTTGACCACAATTGAGCCCTAAAATTTATGTTGCTGACTAAAACATTTAAGTGAGTTTTGCCTCATTTTACGATCTTTCTTGCCAGAGTTAAGTGAATCACTGCAGTTGTTAACAAAATTGTGTTAAGTAAATCTGGTTTCCTTGTTGGCTTTGCTTGTCAGGTCACATGGCCCTGGGCACAGCAATGGTCATAAAAACGAACCCATTGCCAAGCATCTGAATTTTGATAACGTGACCAAGGGGATGCTGCAACGGTTGTGTGAAAAATGGTCATAAGTCATTTTTTTCAGTGCCACTGTAACTTTGAATGGTCACCAACCTGGTTTTCTAAGAATAACAATAATTGAGTTTTACCATAGTGCTGTGTCGGAATAACAATAAATTGTCATTAAATGGAAGAGAAAACCATAAATGTCTGCTTCCAACTATATTAAAGAATGTAATGCTTATGATTTGTTCATACTGTACATAATTAAGTGCACTGAGAGGTCATGTGATAACTGTCACATCATCGTGAACTTTTGCCAAGATCAATATGCGAAACAGTTCTCCAAAACCTTAGGACCATTAACTTCCAGAAATCCCTGCTAGTTTTTACCTGCCAGGCACCAAGTTGGGGAAGGGTGCTATAAACACATAAGCTCTTTTATTTTTGTAGTTGTTTACTTGACTAAGCTAAGCAGGAGTAAACTAATTGTGCTGGCTTCACTTTCAGTTGTGCAACCACATCAATAAAGGAGAAGTAATATAAAAGAAAGCCAGGATAATGTTTTTCAGCTTGCTCAGAATTATAAAAATATACAAATTAGTGCAAATTAAGTCTAAAGGCAGAAATATTGCTGATTAATAAAACAGCAGTGACTTTTTTTCTATCTAAGATGGCACCTGCTCTGAAAGAACTTACATTTTGCACAGAAAGAATTAGGATGCTTTGATTTTACACTATTCTAGGAGATAGTAATGGGGAGAGGGCCTTAAACAATTACATGTGTGCCCATTTATGGGCCAATCTGATTATATAACAGTTACCTATACCTGGTTACACTATTACAATGAACTCTCCTCAAAGAGCACCTGAAAGCTTTGCAGCAAAATATGGCAGCTGAGCTGCTTATCTATACCTAGGACAGTACTAATATCATATTGCATACTTATTAGAAGTCCCCTGGTAGCTACTGACTGCTTTCTGGACCAAATTTCACATGCTTGTTTAAGCTATAAAACAATTTATGGCCAGATTATCAGAGGATTGTACTGTCCTTGTAAAACATTTGAATGTTACAATCTGGCAGGGGAATTCTAAAGAGCTACCAGCTTGTATAGGCCTACTTATAATTACCAAAATCAGTATCAATTACCTTTTAAGCTAATCTATGAAGACAAAGTTACTAGATAAAAAAACCACCTAGGTTAAAGTGCACATTATGAAATGTAGATACTGTATACATATTTATTCCAGATATCAAAAGTGTACCAACATGTTATTTTTAAACTGAAAAAATCTTAAAGCGAGCTTCTAGTAGCCTCTTTTACCATGAGAGTGAGAGAACAGAACTTGAAATATAAATATCTTTAAAATATGGTCAGCATCTCTAGACCTTGATCCTCAAACCCACAATGTTATGGCAAACTTGGAAGAATTTGCTTGCCAAGCAAAAGCGGAAGCCAGAGAAATTCCTTGCATGTATTTCCATATTTCACATCACAGGGCAAAAGAAACCCAATGTTCACTTTTCCATTTACAAATAAGCAATGCTGGGCAACACTCATAAATCTGGGGACAATTTATCAAGCAGTTATCCACAGAGACTGTATGCTTCAAAAATTACATAGAGAAAGCAGTTAAAAGCACAAATCACAAATAGCACAGAACAAATTATATAAAACCAGTATTCACTGGCAGTATGTCACAAATCATGTTAGCAAATATAACTTTTTCTACTTGTAATCTGTTTCCCATAATCAGTCTGTGAAACTATTAGTCAAGATCACCATCAAAATTGACCAGTGTACAGTTCTCATGGATAATCTTCATTATACACCCAAATTTTATCTCACAATCTCAATTTTATCTCTATAACACTACTGAGCATTAATTTTAATCTGTTTCTATATCTTGTTTTTAAATTGATACATCAAATTCCATCTTTTGTGATGAATTAAACATTCTTCCTCAAATACTCAAAACCACCTGTAGATAATTAAACATTAAAATCTTATTTCTCGGTACAACAGCCCACATTTCTCAGTATATATTATGTATAAATCAGCACTACACTGGAGACAGGGAAAACATGCAGGGCATTTCCAAAACAAAAAGCAATTCTCATATAAATAGGGCCACTTATCTACAATAGCAATAGCCCTTAGATTTATATACCACTTCACAGTGCTTTATAGCCCTCTCTAAGCTGTTTATAGAGTCAGCATACTGCCCCCAACAATCTGGATCCTCAATTATTACTTGTTGACAGCCAAACCTATACGACATTTTTTTCTCCTCCATCTAGTAGCGGAGTTTGATCTCAAACAATTATGACACATAAATGTGTATGTACAAGACATACCTGGGCAGAACTCTTGACACCTATATTTATTGAGAAAGAAGTTGGGAGTGAGCAGAGCAGGACTGCTTCCTCATACCCCGCCCCCCCCCCGAACAGCAAGTCAGCTAGCTCATGTAATCCCCTTTCTTTTTAGGCAACGCAAGCGAACCTCGATCTTTTCCCTCAATCGCCACTCAAACGACTTTCTACTCCGCCCCCTCCCCCCCAGAATTCCGCGATCGGTTTTACAAATCCAGAGCCCGCGTCCGATTACCTGCGAAAGCGGCGATAGTCCACAAACCTACCATCCTCTGCGCCCCCTCAGCGCACAACCTCCCCAGCTCCCCTCTTCATCAGGCGCCGGAATCGGTGGCCCCAGCACAGCTTGTCGCGCGCGCGCGCACCCAACCCCAACGTACCTGCGGGGCAGAATTAAGGCGCGCGGGTGAGGGGGAAGGGGAGGAGAATTCCCCCCCCGGACTGAAGGCTCCGGGCCCAAGCCGCCGAAGGGGGTCCAGGTTCTCGATTTTCACCGGAGACCCGAGATGCTCCTGGCTCTGCCGGATGAGACTGGAGGATGGCGTGAACGGGGGAGACGGTAGCAGGCCCAGCGGCCCCCTCGTCCCACCGGAGAACGAAAGCTGCAGCCTGCGAGGGACGGAGGCAGAGAGGAGAGGCGGCTGAAGGACCCAGGCGCTCCCGCGGGCGAGGGGCAGGGGGAAGGATACCACCGGTACCCCCCCACCCCGCCGCCGTCACCTTATCCAGCCAGACCTTCCTCTCTCTCACTGCCCCTCAGTTTTTTCCCCTCCAGAGCTCCGCCTCCCACACGCAGAACCCGTGACACCGAACCCGGCCGCGACGTCAACGTCATCACGCAAGCGCGAGATTTTCCCCTCCCCTTGTTCAGACGCCGCGGTTTAGAAAGACAGACAAGGAAGAGGAAGGATTAGCACGAGGGCGACCATGGGAAACCCGGGGCAACGCCTCAGAGCTCTTTGAACTACAATTCCCAGCAGATACGCCGAAAGAGCAAGGAATGCTAGGAGTTGGGGTTTAATAGCTTGAAGAACGCGGATGCGTCCAACTCTTTGGTCGGGAGAATGTATGGCCTTAATATACATAGAATATTATACGCGCCCGCAACACACAAAGTCTCTGTCTCTCCCTCTCTCTCTCTCTCTCTCTCTCTTTATCTATCTGTCTATCTATCTATCTATCTATCTATCTATCTATCTATCTATCTATCTATCTATCTATCTCTTTTTTTCTTTCTCTCCTTTCTCTTTCCTTGTTTCTATTCCTCTTTCTCTCTTACTTTCTCTATTTCTCTCTCTATTTCTGTTTCTCTTTTTCTTTCTCTCCCCCTTTTTCTCTTTCTTTCTATCTCTCTTTCCTTCTATCTCTTTCTTCCTCTCTCTATTTCTCTTTCTATTTCTCTCTTTTTCTTTCTTTCCTTCTATCTTTCTCTTCTTCCTCTCTTTCTCCCTCTCTCTGTCTCTTTCTATTTCTCTCTCTCTCTTTCTCTTTCCTTCATTCTTTCTCTCTCCCCTTCTTCTATCTCTCTCTCCCTTTCTCTTTCTATTTCTCTCCTATTTCTCTCTATTTCTCTTTCTCTCCACTTCTCTCTTTCTCTCTTTTCTTTCTTTTTCTTTCTCTTTCCTTCTTTATTTCTCTTTCTCTCCCTCTTTTTCTTTCTTTCACTCTCTCACTTTCTCTCTATCACTTTCCTTCTATCTCTTTCTTTATCTCTCTATTTCTCTCCCCTTTTCTTTTTCTTTCTTTTTCTTTCTTTCTTTCTCTCTATTTCTCTTTTTTCTTTCTTCCTATTTTTCTATTTCTTTCTTTCTCTATTTCTCTCTTTCTCTTTCATTCTATCTCTTTCCTTCTATCTTTTTCTCTTTGTCTTTTTTCTATTCCTCTTTCTTTCTTTCTTTTTCTTTCTTTCTCTCCGTCTTTCTTTTTGTTTCTCTTTCTCTCCCTCTATTTTTCTCTCTCTATTTCTCTTTTTCTTTCTTTTTTCTCTTTCTCTCCTTTCTTTTTCTTTCTCGCCCTCTATTTTTTTTCTCTTTTTCTTTTTCTTTCTTTTTTCTCTTTCTCTTTCTCTCCTTTCTTTCCTTTCTTTCTTTCACTTTCTCTTTCCTTCTTTCTTTCTTTTTCTATTTCTCTTTCCTTCTCTTTCTTTCTTCCTTTTTCTTTCTTTCCTTTTCTTTCTCTATTTCTTTCTTTTTCTCAATTTCTCAATTTTTCTTTATTTCTTTTTCTTTCCTTCTTTTTCTTTTTTCTTTTTCTTTCTTTCCTTTATTTCTTTCTCTCCCTTTTTCTTTTTCTCTATTTCTCTTTTTCTTCCTTTCTTTTTTCTTTTTCTCTTTCTCTCGCTATTTTTTCTTTCTTCTCTATTTCTCTTTATTTCTATCTTTCTCTTTTTCTTTTTCATTCTCTCTCCGTCTTTCTTTCTCTGTCTTTTTCTCTTTTTCTCTCCGTCTTTCTTTTTCTTTCTCTCCCTCTATTTTTCTCCGTTTCTTTTTCTTTCTCCGTCTTTCTTTTTCTACTTCTTTCTTTCTCTTTCTTTTTCTTTTTTCTCTCTAACTTTCTCTATTTCTTTCTTTTTCTTTCCTTCTTTCTTTCTCTCTTTCCTTCTTTCTCTCTATTTCTTTCTCTTCTTTCATCCTTTCTTTCTATTTCTTTATCTCCTGTTCTTTGTTTCTCTTCCTTTTTCTTTCTCTTTCCTTCTTTTTTTTCTCTATTTCTCTTTCGTTCTTTATCTTTCTTTTTTCCTTTGTTTTTCTTTTTTCCTTTCTTTCTTTTTCCCTCTTTCTTTTTTTTCTTTTTTCTCTTTCTTTTTCTCTCGCTCTATTTTTTTTCTCTCTATTTCTTTTTTCTTTCTTTCATTCTTTCTTTCTATCTTTCTCTTTTTGTTTCTCTTTTCTCTCCGTCTTTCTTTTTTTCTTTCTTTCCCTCTATTTTTTTCTTTCTCTTTCTCTCTCCATCTTTTTCTTTTTCTTTCTTTATCTTTTTCTTTTTTCTCTATTTCTTTCTTTTCCTCTTTCTCTTTCCTTCTTTCTTTCTATTTCTCTCTTCTTTTTTCTTTCTTTCTCTCCTTTCTTCTTTCTCACTTTCTCTTTCTCTTTTTCTTTTTCTTTTTCTTCCTTTCTTTTTTCTTTCCTTTTCTTTCTTTTTCTTTCTTCCTTTTTCTTCTTTCCTTTTCTTTCTTTCTTTTTCTTTCCCTCTTTCTGTCTTTCCTTCTTTCTATTTCTTTTTTCTTTCTTTCCTTTCTTTCTCTATTTCTCTTTTCTTTCTATTTCTTTCTCTTTTTCTTTTTTCCTTTCTCTCTCTCTCTCCACTAGTGGCAGCACTATACTTCCAACCGTCTCCAGTAAAATCATTTTACGGTACACCTTGCAACCTGGAGTAATGCACGATCCCTTCCGAGTTATTGTAAATGGCAGCGCTACATAGACTACGCTTGGAGAGTAATGCTTAAGTGATTTTTCTGAGCAAACATCTGATTCCCAACCTTTAGTCTCTGGGGGGTGGAGCAAGGGCGGGGCCAGTTTTTGGGCACTCGGTTTCTAAAAGGTTCGCCATCACTGCTCTAGGCCCCATCAGCTGGAGATGTCATCTGGCAGGGTCAAGGAAGAGAGCCTTTTTTGCTGTGGCACCCATTCTGTGTAACACCATCCTTGCAGAAAATTAGATTGGTCTGATCTTGCTAGTCTTTGGAACAACCCTGAAAATATGGCTGTCAACAGGCATGGGGATGCAGAAAATTACGGAGTTGGCACAATGGCTCTACTGAATTTTATTGGTAGGTGTGATTCCTTCGCTACAAATTAAATTTGTACTTATTTTAATATTCTTTTGTACTTTTATTGCTAAATTGTTGTATTATTCAGTTGTTTTTATATTGTTCAACTGATGTAAGCAACCTAAGTCATATATATGAGATTAGTAGCAATATATATTAGAAAAATTAATACATAGATAAGAAATTAAATTAGTCTGACTTGAGGGGCATTTTTAATGAAGATGTATGCATACTTTTAATTTCAAATCCATTTCTCATTCTGCAATATTAACTAGATTTGATTGCCTGGCTAGTCTATACCCCAATCCCAGCAATTGATTATGATGATGATGGTGAAGTGTATCCTATCTTTTCTCCAAAAGTATATTACAAGGAATGTCCTCCAATGATCTTCATCACTGAGGGTGGATCTAAAATAGTCCAATACTGAACTACATCATCACACCTTGTTCTCAAATAACACAAAAGTGGGTATTTAAATGATTCACACTCATATTTTAAAATTTGAAATAAGATGTGAACTGCAATGATGTTCATCTGCTACCTTTATAATTTTGCCTCTGGATTAAATAGCTATTGTCCAATAGTAATGTTAAGGGTTTTGAAGGATAAGCCCACAAGTTCAAAGTGCCATTGTAAGTTCTTTAGATGTATCTTCTCCAGAGCAATCAGAAAAATTTTAGCTCAGCAATCTGACTCAGAAATGGCAGCTTGAATCTAGCTGGTGGCAGCTATCCAAGCATTGAAAAGGTAAAGCAAAATGTCTATACTCGTTTCTTGCAGATGGTGAGAGATAATGTTACAACAAAGTCTCCAATACTGTGTGGTCATGTACATACATACATACATACATACATCTATACATCTATCTATCTATCTATGTTCTTAATTGCCCATCTCCCTCTATCTGACAGGGTATAGCATGCAATTATGCTTTTCATGATCGAAAGGCAACTACGAAACATAGGTATAAACTACCTATTTTTTTATGTTGAAATATTAGCCATTCTGACTTTCATTATTATGGCAAGAGTTATTAACACAAAGACATTAGTGTGCAAGAAAACAAACTGTCATATTCCAGCTGCAGGTATTTCAGCATCTTCTGTCCAAAATATGGGAATGCTAAAATTAGACAGGATCTTGCACAAAATTCTGTCATTCTCATGAGACAACTTAAAGTCAAAACCTCACAATTTAATGTATAGGGCTCTGGATACAATACAGGTGAGCAATGGATGTTTCACTTTCTTCAAGAATCTTATGTAACAGAAATTTATTTTACTATGCTTTAACAAACAGCAATTCCACTTTCTTCAGAGGATATTCATAGATCACAGAGGCAAATACACTAATAGTATAGAAAGGTTTACAGAACAGTAACAAGCTTTTCAGTTTACCCAATAATGTTTACCAGGCAATGAATACATTCAATAATGTAATTTCATATAATGTGGTTCCATATAATTGGGCTTAGTGAATGTTCTTTCATTAAAAAGGTAAGTATTTTTATTCTAAGGCATAGATTTTAAAAATTGCAGTTAATTACTGAAAAATAGCATTTTTCTAATAAAATGTAGACAAATCCTATTTCTTTGAATTATAATTTTGATTTAGGTTTTCCTGAAAGTATGCTTCTGAAAGCCTTGGCATTATGTCCATCTGGTGCTGGGGGCCATCTATCATGATCTAGGAGGAAAGAGAAGATTTAGTTGCCTCAGAAAGCAAAACCAATGCTATTGATTTAAATTTCACAGATTTTTTTTTCAAAGAAAAACACTTAAAACAAGCCTAATGAAATGAGTTAGTCACTTTTATATAATCTCAAAAACAGAAAAATGAATATATTTAACATTTCAGAATATTGTGACAGTCATTTTATTCTCAATAAAGAATAAAGAGTTCACATTTCAATTAAGAATGTTCTTTGAGCTTTAACACCTGAGTAATTGTCAAAGATGTATAAAGGAACTTCAAATATATGCTGAAATGTAATTGTACACAAATGTAAGGGTACTTTTTTATCATCTTTGATGGTTTAGTGACAAAGCAAAAAATATTGGAATCAGATTTCTCTAATTCAGAAGATTCTTAAAATAAATATAAAAATAAATCTAGATTTTTCCATTTAGGCTTGATGGACAAAGATCTTGAAAGAAAATTTGGAACTTTATTATTCAGCCTTCCATCCTTCCAAGGTCGGTAAAATAAGGACCCAGATTATTGGGGGCAATATGCTGACTCTGTAAGCTGCTTAGAACAGGGATCCCCAATCCCCAGGCCATGGCCCATTAATGGACTGTGGCTTATTTGGAACCGGGCCTCTTAAGCATGGCCCGGTTCTCGTCTCTCCCCCGCCATCCCAGACTGGCCACCAAGCCGCAAAAGTTGGGGACCGCTGGTTTAGAGAAGGCTGTAAAGCACTGTGAAGTGGTATATAAATCTAATTGCTATTGCTATTACTACATATGTTAACAGCAGCACACGAAGATGAAAAGATACACTAATTCCCAAAATTGAAGAATCAATGGTGAAGATAATGGAATTGGTAAAGATGGCAAAATTAATTTACTTTAATCAAAGAGAATAATTTATCTATTTTTGTTTCCATTTAGAAACCAGTTCTGGATTTTTTTTACTCAAAATTGGAACAAAAGAATACCTAATTTTAGGTTTTGATTATTAGAATGATTTTGTTGTTAGAGAAATGGCTTGAAATATTTAGAATTGTAATGCAAAAGGTTGAGGTTTTTTTGGGGGGGTATTCTACTCCTCTGAAAGTGGAAGTAGTAGGAAGTCACTACTTTTTTCTTTCCTCTTTATCTTCTTTTGCTTCTCACTTTCTTTTTTTAAACTTTCTTAATTTTTGTTTGTATTTGTATTTTAACCACAATAAATTCTAGTAATTTTTCCTTTAAAAAAGAATGTTGTTTGACCCCAATCAGTGAAGTTGGCAGCTTGGTGTACTGTGCTTATCTAGCCAGTTTTGTTTTAGCCAACCAGAGTTAAGCAAACCAGGACTTCACACAATATGTGAAGCCAAGCTGTAGGTTCTGTGTGAAATAAAGTGTTACATGACAGATATGAAGTATTCAAGACAATTTTCAACTATCTGAGGGAACAACAAAACTGAGAAAAAAACGCCTTAATTGAGACAATTTGCACACATCCCTAATTTGTTTCACATGATGGAAATGACTCCTCCCCTCCACCCCAAAATTAAATAGAAATAAATGGCTGTAACACAGTGGTTCTCAACCTGTGGGTCGGGACCCCATTTGGGGTCAAACGACCATTTCACGGGGGTCGCCAAACAACGCAATCCGCTATTTTTTCCCCCTTTTCCTTAGCTGTGCTACTCCCTTTTATTCTATTGGCTTTTGAAAGCCAATAGAATAGACTCTCTTGAATAGAGTCTAATTCTATTGGCTTTCAAAAGCCAATAGGAATTGTCCAGGCTGTCTCTGCCCTGCTGAGCCCGCCAAAAGTCCCATTCTGCAAACGGTGCTGCACCAGTTGAGTAGTCCTCGACTTACGACCGGTTGAGTAGTCCTCGACTTACGACCGGTTGGGGGGGTCGCGGCATTAAAAAGGTTGAGAACCACTGCTGTAACACAAGCTAAACAATAGCTGATTCCCAAATTAAATCAATTAGATCAGTGGTTCTCAACCTTCCTATTGCCGCAACCCTTTAATACAGTTCCTCATGTTGTGATGACCCTCAACCCCCCATCCAGCTGGCTGGGGGGGTATCAAAAACTTGACCCCCCCCAAAAAGGAAGAAATGAGAAAGTATAGTAAGTTGTAATTCGCTTAGTGACTGTTAGAAGTTACAACAGCACTGAAAAAGCAAATTATGATCATTTTTCACACTTATGATTGTTGCAGCATCCCCAGGGTCATGTGATTTACATTCGGATGCTTGACAACTGATTCATACTTATGACATTCAAAGTGTCCAAAGGTCACGTGATCAATGGCCAGGGGGCGTGGCCAGCTGATCACTCAGGTTGCAGAGTGCCTGTGGGGGGGAATCTGTGGGTCTCTGGGATGGGACTGGGGTGGGTGCCTGCCTTCCCTCCCCTTGTCCCTTCCTTCCTTCTTTTCTTCCTTTCCTTCACCTCCCTTAGTCTCTTCCTCCTTCCCTCCCTCTCTCCCATTGTCCCTTCCTTCTTTCCTTCCTTTCCTTCACCTCCTTAGTCTCTTCCTCCTTCCCTCCCTCTCTCCCATTGTCCCTCCCTTCCTTCTTTCCTTCCTTTCCTTCACCTCTCTTAGCGTCTTCCTCCTTCCCTCCCTCTTTCCCATTGTCCGTTCTTTCTTTCCTTCCTTTCCTTCACCTTCTTCTTAATCTCTTCCTCCTTCCCTCCCTCTCCCACTGTCCCTTCCTTCTTTCCTTCCTTTCCTTCCCCTCCCTTAGTCTCTTCCTCCTTCCCTCCCTCTCCCATTGTCCCTTCCTTCCTTCTTTCCTTCACCTCCTTCTCCCTCCTTCCCTCCCATTTTCCCTTCCTTCCTACTTTCCTTCCTTTCCTTCCCCTCCCTTAGTCTCTTCCTCCTTCCCTCCCTCTCTCCCCTTGTCCCTTCCTTCCTTCCTTCCCTCCCTCTTTGTCCCTTCCTTCCTTCCCTCTCTTCCATTGTTTCTTCCTTCCCTCTCTCATTGTTCCTTACTTCCCTCCCTCTTCGTCCCTTCCTTCCTCCCCCCCCCTCCATGCCCAGGAAGGGACAAGGGGAGGAAGATAGGCTGCCAGCATGGCTGGGGGCTTTGCTGCCGGCAAACTTGCCTGTGCACAGGCAGAGACAGAGGAGAGCTCCGCCCAGCTCACTTTCTCAGCTTCGCCGAAAGACATGCCACTTGCTAATTTAGCAGAAGCGCCAGGATCAGCTACAGCTGATTCACGCTTCTGCTAAATTAGCAAGTGGCATGTTTTCTAGCAAAGTTCGAGCAATTTTACTGGGCAGGAGCCAAGGAGAGCAGCTACAGCTGCAGAAGCGCGGATCAGCTGTAGAGGCTTGCACCGATCCTGGACAAGAGGGAAGGAAAGAAGGACGGAAGGGACAAGGGGAAAAAGGGAGGGAAGGAGGGAGAAAGAGGGAGGCGAAAGGAAGGAAGGAAGGAAGGAAGGAAGGAAGGAAGGAAGGGACAAGAAGGAGAGGGAGGGAAGGAGGGACAAAGAGGGAGGTGAAGGAAAAGAAGGAAGAAAGGAAGGAAGGAAAGAAGGAAGGAAAGGATAATGGGAGAGGGAGGGAAGGAGGAAGAGACCAAGAGGGAGGGAAGGAAAGGAAGTTCCAGCCAGCAGAGGCTTGGCAGCCCGGCTGCCGAGGAACAGAAGAGCGCAAAGCCAAGGAGAAGGTGGCGGTTTCCTCCCAAAGGGGTCTCCTTTTCTCCACCCCTTTCCTGGGTTTTGGGGAATTTCTCGTCACCAACGCTGACAGGTGCTCCTTTGAGCCCGCTGCAAGCTTTCTCGCCCCCTTTGCTTCTCCCCCCCCCCGCTTTCATGAGGATTGTGGCGCCCTTGGTAAGCCGATCGTGCTTTGAAGCTTAGGCGAGGAGGAGGAGTCCTTTCCTCCTTCCCTCCCTCTCTCCCTGTCAAGCCCCGGCGGGCTCGACATGAACGGGCAGAGGAGGAGTCGAGGATGGGTGGGGTGGCAAAGGAGACCGGCGGCCGTCGCCAGTCCTCCTGGCTGACAAGCGCAAGTTCGGGGGTCGCCAGCTGATGGGCTCAGGAGTTGGGTGCTGCGGCGGCCTCCCCCTTCGCTGACCTGCATGCACGAGAAGAAGTCAATCCGGTTGCTGCACAATGAGTCTCTGGGGAGGGCAGGGCCTTGCTCTGCGCCTGCGCTCTTTATGCGCCCCCTGCAGGGCACATTTGGTAGAGTTTGTGCAGACTGCCGCCAAGCAGTATATTTTCCACAAACAAGTGAGATGGAGCAGAGGGGGAGGAGGGAGAGAAGGCGGTTGACAAACCCTGCCTAAGACCATTGGAAATATGTGTTTTCCGATGGTCTTAGGCAACCCGTGAAAGGCTCGTGCAACCACCAAAAGGGTCGCGACCCACAGGTTGAGAACCACTGAAGTAGATGAAGGCTTTCTTGGAGGGAAAATTAAAAATTCCAACAACTATGGAATCACACCACCAGAGGAATTGAGACTAATTATTGTAGAAAGTAGATGCACCCTAAAAACGAAATCAGAGATGTGAAAGGTAAGAGATTAAATAATTATTAACATAAGGAAGTAAATGAAAAGTAATGTAAGATTTCAAGAAGCAAACTCACATCACAATATCCTAGGCCAGGGTTCTGTGATAGAGAAGAGTATTTGACAGAGATGGACAGTTACAGAAATTGAATGAATGAAGTAAATAATTAATGAAACAAGTCAATCATACAAAGGGGAAGCGGGTTTTGTGTTCCTGTAGCACTTGCAATTCCAGTCTAAGTAAATTTACATTTCCTTCATTAGTAGAGTTAGCCAGGAAAGAAAATGAATTAAAAAATAATAACTTCGCTTTAAGGGAACAACTTAGTATATAAAAAGCTGGAAAATGAAATTTGGATTTAAATAAGATTGTTAAATTTTCATGTAAACATACCATTAAATTCTATCTTGTAGCATGATTATTTCAATATCTCTAACAAACCTAAAAGGTATATGCACCAGGAAAATCCTTGCTCAAAATAAATCCAGATTATGTTGTTTTATCTTTCTTATGAATGGAGAGTTTAAAGCTTATTGAAATCTTATGGGCAAATTCAGCATTTAGTAGGTAATGTGAAAACATTTGAGTCATCAGTTTTAACAGAAGAAAGCACATAATCTGGAAAGTGCAATATGATACTTTCTGAACCAATTTCCTAAGTGAAGTGGAATTTGATTACAATGGAGAAGTCTTAAAGATAAATTAGTTTTTAATATCAGGGCAAAAGCATCAGAAAAAAAAGGAAAGAAAAGCAGACACCCTCAAGAGTAAACATTTTGTGGCAGTTTCCATATTTTATAATGTGTCTTGGCTTTCCCTTTTGAAAATACAACCATTTCAGAACATTAAAACAGTCAAGTTACTATTTTACCACTATTTTAAAAGCGTTGTTTTACCTGGAATGTTCCATAAGCAACTGTATAGGCCTTGTCCTGCATCAACATTCACAGTTTCTCCAGTTATAAAGGAGGCACCTGGAGAAAGCAGAAAACACACCAAAGATGATACCTTAAAAGAGAAATAGAATATTTGTTATATTAGTTGCTCCAGACAAGATGGGAGACACATAAATTCAATAAATTAATAAATATATATTAACCACTATACCACAGGCCCTTTCAGATGTACAATTCAGGTTTCATTTATTCTGCTGCTGGATTCATATACTGTGATACTCTGTGGTTTGGTAGACTGACTCAGCTTTTGTATTATGTTAAATTACAAACCATGGGTTATTCACAAAGCCTGTGCTCACATAACATAAAAAGATGAAGTACAGTTTAGTGTAATGGGAGAACCTGCTCAATAAACGTTGAGAATAGAGCAATACTTATAATCCGGCTTCTTTCCCTGCAAATTGTGATACACATCTGAAACATTCGTACACTTGGATGCAAGTGAGCATAAGAAGTTGGATATTGTGAAGTGTAGGACAAGTATAATACTGCCAGCATTATTTTGTTATCTTTTACATATGCATTTTTAAGAGTGTAGAACCCTAATCACATTCTGAATGGGAATGTTAGCTTCATATCCAAAGATAATTTGATTACTAAATTACTGAATCATTAAGTGCTGTTGCTTTCTTCCACAGCTGAGGAAACAAACTGTTTAAGTCAAACAGAAGTCAGATTATTTCTCAATTGACAAGAGCCCTGGTAGCGCAGTGGTTAGAATGCAGTATTGCAGGCTAACTTTGCCCATAGCCTGAGTTCAGTGCTGACAGTTACAAGGTTGACTCAGCCTTCCATTCTTCTGAGGTTGGTAAAATGAGGACCCAGATTGTTGGGAGCAATATGCTAACATAGTAAGCCACCCAGAGAGTTCTGTAAAGCACTCTGGAATGGTATATAAGTCTAAGTGCTATTGCTATCTCTTTTTAGCATAACTATCTTAAGTTGCCTGTTTGAATACTTATGTTTAAGCAATGCTTTGCACATAGCTGGTCCTAAATAAAAGAACACATTTCATGTCAACATCACATATATGTATGAAGTGTTTGCGATTGAAAGGGAGAAAAGACTGCTTCAGAGCATGCAGGGGGCAGTTGTGGAAAGCAGCCAGAGAACTCCAAAAAGATACAATTGCTATAAGGAGCTGGTAGCAAATGCTCAGCAAGCACCCCCATATGCCCCTAAAACAATTTTCTCCTTCAAATCTGAAGAAGTAAAAAAGCCTAATTACTTAATGATATACATTTGAACACTAGTTTGTCCAATGGCTAAGGCACCAAGCTAGAAACGTAAGACCATGAATGCTAGTCCTATGTGAAAGTTTCAGGATGCAAATATCTTGTAAAATAGGAACTGTTATTAATCCATTATAAATACATGTTAATGTGAATACTGTAAATAATGTATTCACATACATACATGTCTACTATAGAAGAATGGACGCTTAAGGTTTCTAATCTAGCAGAAATGGCAAAAATTTCTGCTTATTTGAGGGATCATACACAAGAAAGGTATATTTCAGTATGGAGAAGATGGATAGATTATATTCAGAATAAATATGGGACTAAAAAGTTCCATTTATTTTATGAATAAGTTTTAGAGTATTATTTTTTTAACGGTATATTATAGTGAAATTATTATTAGTTTTATTATTGTTTTTAGTATAGTTTAATAACTTGGATATTGTTTAATAATATGGAATTGTTTATATTATTATGTTTATTTTACTTGTTTGTATTTATGTTAAAGGGGAGTTAAAGTATACTATAAATTTGGTTATTTTATAGTTGGTTAATGTTATTTAGAGTTTGATTATTATATTTGTAATAACCCTGTATTCAGCTCTGGGAAGTGGGGGAGGGGGAGGGGGGTTAGGGTGGGTGTTTTGGGGGGGTGTAATTATTTATAAAACTTTTTAATAATAATAATGAATACTGTAAATAATGTATATATCTTCAATAAATCAATGTCCTGCCCCTCTGAGAATCCCTTTATTTAAACAGGAATGGATTTGTATCATGCTATCAATTCTTTTGTTCTCCTCAATAAAAGATTCATGTTATCTAAAGCATCACTTTATGTAATACATATATATAATAAAACTTCAGTTTAATGGCCATTCAGAGGAAAAGGTATCCATTAAATATAATTTTGAACATGTATAAAAAGCCCACCTAGGGAGATGTCCAGAATCAGTATATATCCAAGGTATATTAAATAGTAAACCATTAAATCAAGATTTTATTTACTCATTGAACAGGTTCACATAATTTGCTTGGTTCTGGTTTAGTATACTGTGTCAGTAATTCAGGGTAAGTGTATTGTGTAAACCAAAACATTAATTAATAACAAAATCAGTTTCCACTGAACATTAGCAATAAAAGTATATAATGTGAAGAGAACAAAATCCAATTTTTAAAATCACCCGAAAACACTGAAAGTCAAAATATAACAATTAAATCAACATAGTACTATACCTCTTCAGGAAGTCCTAATCTCTTTGCAGGAATCTTTTTAATGTTGTCTCTAAACAAAGTTTCACCATCTTTGTAGTTTGCAACAGCAGTTTCTGAAAATATAACTCCCTGCAAAGAAAGCACAGGTTCACCATTAAGATTTTATTATTGTTTTTCACTGCAATAAAAACTCCAATCACTTTTGACATTCACAAACTATAAACTCTGAATATCAGTAATGAAAATAAACGACCTGGATTATAAACCAAAAGCAAACTGCATTGGAAAGGAAGAATCATATCTTTGTAAGTAAAGTGCTGTTCAACTCAAGATCAGTTCTTGGCAACTTCATGGACTTTATGCAATTTTGTTAGCAAGGGGGTTGCTGTTGCCTTCTTCCCACACATCCCACATTTAGCTTACAATTTTTGGAATTTCTATTTTTATTAATATATGTGCAGTAATTACATTTAATTAATTACTAAATATAATTACTACATTTGCTATATTTATAAAGCAACACAAAGATATCTGCATGTTTTATAGAAACATCTGAAGAGCAATTTCATCTCTAGTGTTACTATTAAAATACTTCTGTAATTCTTCCTCAAATACTGCATCCAGTTTTGGTCACCATGATGTAAAAAAGATGCTGAGACTCTAAAAAGAGTACAGAGAAGAGCAATAAAGATGATTAGGGGACTGGAGGCTAAAACATATGAGGAACGGTTGCTGGAATTGGGTATGTCTAGTTTAACGAAGAGAAGGATGAGGGGGGACATGATAGCAGTGTTCCAATATCTCAGGGGCTGCCACAAAAAAGAGGGAGTCAAGCTATTCTCCAAAGCGCCTGAGGGCAGGACAAGAAGCAATGGATAGAAACTAATGAAGGAGAGAAGCAACCTAGAACTAAGGAGAAACTTTCTGACAGTTAGAACAATTAACCAGTGGAACAACCTGCCTACAGAAACGGTGAATGCTCCAACACTGGAAGTTTTTAAGAAGAGACTGAACAGCCATTTGTCCGAAATGGTATAAGGTTACCTGCCTGAGCAGGGGGTTGGACTCGATGACCTCCAGGGTCCCTTCCAACTTTTTTATATTATTACTATTATTATTATTATTATTATCATCATCATCATCATCATCATAGCAAACTCCATTGAGCATTGATTACAGCCTATAGTCTCCTTCTCAGTCCTTGGTATAGCTAAATATTTAGATATAAAAATCTGAGCTGTTCTAATAGATACTATATTATGAGCAAAATTTTCTAACCTATGAAAAAGGTCCTATATTCATCCAAGATTAAATTAGACAGATAAGATTGTTAGAATCAGCTTGAGCATTTGGTTCCAGTCTATTGTCTAATCACTTATTTCATAACCTACCGGGGCAACAGAGTTAATCCTCACTCCTTTGAATGCCCACTCAATGGCTAAACTTTTGGTCAGGTTATCAACTGCAGCTCTTGCTGCTCCACTGTGCCTGTAAAGAAAGCAAAAGAAGAGGCAGACTTAATTTCCTTCCACAGGTTAACTTAGATCACGCTGAAATTAGATGTTGTGATTATGAAATACGTAGAACAATATTTTGCTATCCTAACTGGGGTTTAGATTTCAAGCTATCCTTTTTCCAGTTAATTTCATCTAATCTTAGTACCATAGGGCAATTGTCAAAAATAGTGATTGATTCCCACCCATAGTTCAGCTAGCCAGAGTCAGGTTGGTCGAAAATTCCACCTTTTAGTTATTCCAGCCTAACTCAAAGCTCACATTATAGAAATAACACCCAATCTGCATTCCCAACTATAATAAGATGCTTACTTGCCTTTATGGCTCTCTCAAATACAAATACCTATGAGATTTCTGAGATTTTAGGGGCTATCAGGCATGATTTTCTCTTATAGCTAGGATTGTCCTCAAGCAGACTTAGAGACAAACTAACTCTTTCAGCTTCCATATTATGTGAAATGCCTCCCAGGCAAAAAATATGTGTGTGCACCTGTGCATTTTCTACAATCAGGAAGCTTGCAATAATTTCATAATGAGAGTTCAGTTAACGTAGTCCCAGCAGACAAGTCTATGCAAAGACAAATATTTCAACTGGTTGATAAGAAATACAAGCTAGGGAGGATACAGTACAATACTGATAAAAGCAGCAGCCACCTAGGAAGCAGGGGCTTTAATCTTCCCTGCCTAGTAATTTCAAGCTGCAAAACAATATGGCAGGAAGCAGGGAAGTGTCTCTGTGTCTATAAATGTCTGTCTGCTCAGAGTTGTTGAACCGTGAGATAGGAGGCAAATGAATTTTATATATAAATTAAAATAAATACATTTACTTAGATTTAAGTGACGACAAGCATGCATTTGGATATTAATAACAGCTTACGATATGCTAGGCAAACCTCTCTTCGTATTAGCCACAATATTGACAATGGCACCCCCATGATCCCGCATCCAAGCATTGTACACTATATGGAAATGGGAAAAAAAGAGCAGTTCATTAATACTGTGACATTTTTACTTACATTTTCCTAATGGGTATACAGAATGCAGTCTCAGTTTGAGTTAAAGCCTTCCACTCACAAAATATATAGCTAAGTGTATCAATATGGGGGGTTGTGTTATATACAACATAGCAATGACATTAAAACCTGATATTTGCCAGAGGATACAAGTAACTATGAATGGAGGTTCATTCCCCACATTACTGAAAACATATAAATCCACCCTGCTGCCGTCTCACACACCCCACAAAGTCCAATCATACCTCATCATAGGGGGTGGAGTTGAACAGTATAAGCCTATTATACAAGCCAATACAGCTCTTGGCTTGGAGAAAGATCTGGGAATCTATTCCAAAAAGCTAAGGATCAACTCAAAGATGTGTAAGACATGGTACCGAGCAGTGAGTCGCTCTGGCTGGGAGGTAACAATAAAACTACAGGGGAAGAGCAAAGAGACTATCATAGTAGCAGGAGCATTCATGACATGGATGGGGGTAAATTCTGATGGCCACCCCAGCCGTTGGCACAGATCCCAGTGAAAAGAGATCTTTCCACTGTTTAAAGATCTTCAAATTAGGAACATGGAATGGCAATGGCGTATACCAAGGAAAGCTAAACATTGTTAAGAATGAAATGAATAGGCTCAACATACTTGGTATCAGTGAAGTTCATTGGACTGACTATATATGGAGACACAAAAAGGTTCAGAATTGGAAAAGGCAATTGGCAAGGTTGCATCCTGTCACCCATACTATTCAACATGCACACAAAAATAGTTATGAGGAATGCACATTTGGAAGAATCTATCACTGGGATTAAAAATTAGTGGTAGGAATATCAATAACCTCCAATACACAGATGATCCAATGTTGCTTGTGGAAAACAAGACGGATCTGGAGTGGCTAATCCTGAGAGTCAAAGATGAAAGTGAAAATTTGGACTGCACCTTAACATCAAGAAAGCAAAGATAATGACAACTTCCAGAGAAGATGCAGGTCAGAGTGCAGATCGATAATGAGCTCACTGAAACAGTAAAAAAAAAAAAAATCATCTTGCTGGACTCTAAAATTCACCAAAGTGGCGACTGCAGCTTTGAGATCAGAAGGCGTATAGCACTTCGAAGAACTAAAACGTCTTCCAGGAATAATATCTGGAAGAGTAAAGACATCAGCCAAATGCAGATTAGTTAACACAGTAATTTTTCCAGTTGCTACTTATGGCTGCGAAACTTGGATTCTGAAAAAGGCAGATAGGAGAAGGTGGATACCTTTGAACTATGGTTCTGGAGGCGACTATTACGCATCCCATGGATTGCAAAAAGAACAAACAAAGAAGTCCTAGAACGAACCTCACCTAAAATATTGCTTGAAGCCCAGATCGCCAAACACGGGTTGTCATTCGTTGGTCATGTCATGTGAGCTGATTAATTTGAAAAGTTAATCAGGCTGGGAGTGATCAGCAGAAAAAGGAGAAGAAGACATCCTAGAATCCACTGACTGGACTCTAGAAAGGATGACACTGGGATGATCATGGTGGATCTGAAGGAGGTAATGCGAGACAGAGGGGCACAGAAAGTGCTGATCCATAGAGTGGCCAAGGGTCGGATATGACTGAATGGCTGACAACAATGACATTTAATCTACCAATTCTGAAAACGAACTATAGGCTGCTCCAGCTCGTGGAATCTGAAATCGCAAACCAGGCAAGTTATTTTAACCAACTGCCTCATTTATGCCCTCTTTCTTTTATAGAACAACACCTCTGAACCTTACATAAGCTACTTTATATTTACTGCTAGACTACTATCCCAGTCGGCAGCATCACTTGATGATTTGTTCAGCTTTATCTAGAAATGTCAGACACTGTCTAAACAATCACCACTATCCATAGCAGGCACTCTAGCACTGAGTCACTCCAAATAAAATGAAACAATTATATTCCAATATTATTAACACCGTCAACTATTTTGGTGAGTTATTCTAATTTACAAATGTGTAAAATCTAAATGCAGGTAACTTAACATCAATAATCTGAACAAATAGCTTCCGGTGGATTAGCGCGCGCGATGGCGGCTACTTTGTAGCCGTCCTCCTGAGAAAGCGTTAGAACTGCAGAGAACAGCAGGCATCAGCTGTTCCGCAGCTGAAAACCTCCTTCCCGGGCAAAGGGAGGGAGGGGAGTATCACCTGAATAGTGATAGAACCTCTTAGACCCCCAAAGAATTTTTCTTTTGGGAGTGAAAGGAGTGCTCCCACGGAGTTCAGGCTGCCTCCGCTTCTCAGCTGTCTTTGTCCCCTGGGGACAAAGCAAGACTCTGCTCCCACTTCCGCGCTTAAAGAGATCTGGTGAGTTACTTTAAAGGCGGACAGAGCTGGATAAAGGAGTTTATTTTTCTTGATTTTATCTGGACTTTAAGCTTAAAGATTGATTTTTATTTCCCTTTTTTTTCTTTTATTGAAAGGGAAAGTAAAATGGCAATCGGAAGGGGGTTTTTTTGAAGGGACTGGAACGGAACGGATTAGATTGCTTTTAAAGGGTTTTTTTTTAAGGTGGACTTGTGTTTAAGGAAGATTATTTTCCCTTTCTGTCAAACTTTTCTTTGCTATCTTTTTAAGGGATTTTTTTTTTGCTTTTTTTTATTTTTATCCTTTTTTTAAGAAGGAGGAAAGAAGAAACAAAACTTTTTTTTTTTTGAAAATGGCTTCAAAGCGGCAAGTAACATCTACAGTACCTAAGGTGGCTTCTTCTCCTGCGATTTTACCAGCTCAACAACCTAAAGCTACACCACCACCTTCTCCCCCTCTGCCATCAGTAACGGTAAAAGATATGCAAGATATAATGGGAAATGCTGTATCTCAAATTAGATGGGAAGTGAAAGATCTTTTAGTGGAGAATAATATTATTTTGAGGCAAGATATAGTTATGGCTTTACAAGGACTTGCTTCTGTGGTTGAAAAGTTGGATTCTAGAGTGGAAGAAGTTGCAGACAAAGTGGAGATTTTGGAAGATAAATTTGAAGGCATGGAGAAAAAGATGGAAATTTCACAAGATGATATTGTTATGTCTCAATATAGAAAAATGGAGTTCGCTTTAAGAATCCGAGGCCTGAGAGAAGATTTACAACAAGACTTGAGAGAGATTGTAGTAAATGATTTTGCTGTGATTTTGGACAGAGAAAAAGAGGCAATATCTAGAGAAATTGAAAAAATATTTAGAGTTAACTCTTGGGTTGCAAAGCAAAGAAATTTGCCAAGAGATGTGGTGATTTATTTTGGGAAAAGATCTCTGCATAATGAAATCATACAAGCTTTTTATAATAAGAGGTTTCAGATTGCTGCGCAAGATGTTATAATTTTAAAGGAGATTCCATCTAAAATTTTAAGAAGAAGAAAAGAGTTTGCCTTCTTAGCTGATGAACTTAAAAAAAGGTTGATGCCATTCAGATGGGAGATTCCGATTGGTATTGTGGTGAGTCATGCGGGGACGTGTTATAGACTTAATACTGTTCCTAAAGCCAAAGAGTTTTATATGTCGGTCCTGGGAGCACGCTCATCACCACCTATGATGTTGAAAGTTTTGGATGGCAAGGAGGCAGAACAGCAGTCTGAAGAAGTAGTACTGATGGAAGCTGGAAAATTACAGGCTGACTGGTTGCAACATGCAGAGATGAAAGAGCAAAGAATGACCCGGGCAGCCCACAGACGTAAGGAAAAGGAACAACAGAAGAAAGATGTTAAAGAAGTTTTACAAGAATCTGTTTCTGAGCCTGTGGGAGGAGCAAGACCCAAGAGTTCTGTGGTACATTTCTCAATGGCAGATCTTCAAGCAGTCTTCTCTAGGCTTTTGGTCAAGGGAGATGGTAAAGCTCCTGACATGGAATGCTAATGGCCTCAATTCTCCTCAAAAGAGAAAGAAAATATTTCACTACTTAAAGCAACATAACAATGATATTATCTGCTTGCAGGAAACACATATTATTTTTAAGGATCAAAAATATTTAGTTAATACTCGATTGGGATCACATTTTGCATCTTTTGTTCTTGGGAAAAAAGGGGGTGTAGTTATTTATGTCAAGCAAAATTTATCAGCTTGTTTAGTAGATTCTGATCCCCAAGGGAGATATGTTATGACTGAAGTGGGACTGTATGGTAAGGAAGTACTTATAGTAGGTTTGTATGCACCAAATCAACAACAGGAACAATTTTATAGACTGTTACATCAAAAATTAATTTTGCTGGATTACAGATCTGTTATTTTAATGGGAGATTGGAACGGTGTTTTAGATACACAAAGAGATAAAAAAGGACCTTCTATCTCTTTTAAACAGGCTAAATTACCTAAGGCTTTTTTTGATTTGAAAGAGGACTGGGAGTTGCGAGATTATTGGCGTGAACACAATTTGGAGGAGAGAGACTTTACCTTCTTTTCGGACAGACATCAATCTTTTTCAAGAATTGATTTTTTTTTTATTACAACGGATTTATATTTTAGAGTAAAGAATGTTAAGATTTTTCCCAGGACATTGACGGATCATAGTCCAGTCTGGATGGAATTGGTTAATGAAAAAGAGGAGAGGAGATCTTGGAGGATGAATGAAAATTTATTTAGACAAGAAAAGAATGTTCAGAAATTAAAGGAGCAATTAAAGGAATATTTTGCTTTAAATATGTATAAGGGAACTTCAATGTCAATGGTTTGGGATGCTGGTAAAGCTTACATGCGGGGGGTCTTGATACAAATGAATAAGGTTTATAGACAGAAGCAGGTGCAGAAACGTAAGGAGTTGGAAGATGAGATTAAATCAAAAGAAAAAGCCTTAATTTTGAATCCTATAGATGAGAAGATTAAAGAATCTATAAAATTGCTTAAATCACAATTTACTATGTTGATGGCTGATCAAACTGCAACCAACTTATTGTACATGAAACATAATACATTTTGCAATGCTAATAAACCAGGGAGATGGTTGGCTTATCAATTGCGAAAGAAGCAGAGGCTGAGAACTATAGATAAAATAAATTATAATGGTAAATTGGTATATCAGAAGGAGTTGATTAAGAAATCTTTTTTAGATTATTATAAAAAATTATATATGGGTACGAAAGTACAGGCTTCAGATATAGCTAAATATCTACAAGATGCTCATTTCCCTAAATTAACAGAAGATCAGAAACAAGAAATTAATGATTTGATTACCATCGAGGAAATTGAGATAGTAATTAAAGAATTAAAATTAGGTAAAGCACCGGGTACTGATGGATTGACATCTATTTATTATAAAACCTTGGCAGAAGAGTTGATACAACCTTTAAGGGAACTTTTTAACAATATATTACAGGGTTCAGAGACCCCCTTGTCATGGGGCAGAGCTTTCATATCTTTGAGCCCAAAAGAAGACCAAGATCTCACTTTACCAAAGAATTATAGACCCATATCTCTCTTGAATGTAGATTATAAGATTTTTTCGAAAATTTTAGCTAATAGACTTATGAGGGTGTTGAATCAATTAATACATATGGATCAAACGGGTTTTATAACTGGAAGGTATATGAAGAATAATGTTAGACAAATTATTAATTTAATAGAATATTTGGATAAAAACAACCAAATTTCTGCAGGATTGATATTTTTAGACGCTGAGAAAGCTTTTGATCAGTTACATTGGCAATTTATGTTAAGATTAATTGAGGAAATGAATTTTGGAGAAAAATTTTTACAAGCTCTTCGTGTTATTTATCAAAAACAAATGGCACAATTTATAGTCAATGGAGGTTTATCAGAGGTGTTTTCAATTGAGAAGGGGACTAGACAGGGTTGTCCACTGTCACCATTACTGTTTGTTTTAACTTTGGAAATTTTGCTGATTAAAATTCAGGAATCACAGAAAATAAAAGGAATAGAAGTCAATAAAAAAGAATATAAATTAAGGGCTTTTGCAGATGATTTGGTTGTTACTTTATCCCAACCAACTTATTCTGTAATGGAGTTGTTACAATTGATACATCAGTATGGACAAGTTTCGGGTTTTAAAATTAATAGTAATAAGACTAAAATATTGCCTAAAAACATGACCAATTTAGATAAGGAAACCCTAGTTAGGCTGACAGATTTGAGGTTGTTAATAAGGTAAAATATCTGGGGGTTATTTTATCTGCTTCCAATGCAAAACTGTACAAAAATAATTATGAAAGGCTGTGGGTTAAAATACAAAAGGATTTGGAAAATTGGAAGAAGCTGCAATTATCCCTATTGGGGAGAATTGCAGTGATTAAAATGAATGTTTTGCCAAAGTTTCTTTTTTTATTTCAAATGATACCTATCTTAAAGAATGAGGCTAACTTAAATGAATGGCAGAAAGGTATCAATAAATTTATTTGGGCAGGGAAAAAACCAAGAGTAAAACTTAAAATTATACAAGATATTCGTGAGAGAGGTGGACTCAAGGTACCGAACCTGAAATTGTATTATGATGCTGTGGTGTTAACATTAATTAGTGATTGGGTTAACTTAACAAATGTAGATGTACTCCTCCTGGAGGGATGGGATTTACTTTTTGGATGGCATGCCTATTTAACTTTTAATAAAAAGGTTGATAGGGTTTTTAAGTCTCACATTTTAAGAATTTCTTTACTTCGGGTTTGGAAAAAATATTATAGAAGTGATTCTAGAATTCCATTATGGGCTATCCCATGGCATGCAATAGAAGGGATAAGGAGAGGAGTTAAGATGGACAGTATTTCTTATACACAATTACTTAGATGGGATGGCAAAAATTGGCAACTAAAATCTATGGAAGACTTAATACAAGAAAATATTATTTATTCATGGTTTCAGTATAGACAACTATTGGAAATGTGGAAGATAGATTGCAATGTGGGTTTGCTCAGAGAGGATGAGAATTTGTTAAAACAAATAAAAGATCAAAGACGAACCCATATTAAAAGAATTTATGGGGTATTAGTGCAATTGGATTCAGAAGCAGAACTAGTTAAAGATTGTATGGTTAAATGGGCACAAAACTTTGATGAATCGGTTCCATTAGATACTTGGGAGACTATTTGGGTGAGGAATGTTAAATTCACACAAGCCCAAAACTTACGGGAAAACTTTTATAAAATGTTTTATAGATGGCACCTTGATCCACAAAAAATGTCTCGTATGTATTCAAACTTGCAGCCTAAATGTTGGAGATGTGGTTGCTTGGATGCTACTTATTATCATATTTGGTGGTCATGTAAAAATATAAAAGCTTTTTGGATTAAGATATGGTGGAATATTCAAAGAATTTTTAAAAGAAGGATAACATTTACTCCACAATTGTTTTTGGTGGGTATTGTTTCTGATTGTGACAGTAAAGAAACTACATTAATGTTAAATTTAATTACAGCGGCTAGGTTGTTAGTAGGGCAATGTTGGAAGAAGGAATCTTTGCCTACTTTGCAAGAATGGTTTCTTAAAGTTTCCTACTTAGCGGAAACGGCAAAGATTTCGGCTTTCTTGAAAGATCAATCGCAAGAGAAGTACCTCTTGGTATGGAAAAGATGGATAAATTTTATACAATATAAATATGATATAAAAAATATTATTTAGTTTTTGAATAATTTATATTTAAAGTTTAAGATTTTTTTTCTTTCTTTCTTTTCTCCTTTTTCTTGTTTCTTTTCTTTTTCTCTTTTTGTTTTCTAAATATGGGTGTTAAAGTATTTTATAATTTGTTTACTTACTGTAATCAAATTTGTATATGGTTTATTTGTGTTTAAAACTTTTTCTTTTAAATTTTAATTAAGCCTGTATTCAGCTCTGGGAAGGTTGGGGGAGGGCTGGGGTGGGTTGGGATGGTTTGGGGAAGGGAACTTTTTTGTAAAATTTTAAAAATTTTCAATAAAAAAAAATTAAAAAAAATAATCTGAACAAATAAACAGACTGTAGGAAATATATTTTAGTATTTCTGATCTAGTCACCAAAGCAATTCAAATTCATATTAAATGTCTTCTTTGACTTATAATTAAAGCCATACCAAAATACATTTAGTATGAAGTGTATTTACTATTCTCTGTCAGAGATGCCATCTGAGTAATAGTTGTGTTATAATTTAACTTAACATAATTGGCAAAACATGCTAAGCACTACATAGTTAGGTTTATCATTATACCTCAGTTTCAACCTTTCTTCAACCATAATTAAGTTGCAACAGCTAAATATATATCAGTTAACAAGAATGTGACCAGCAAAGATTTATTTCCTGGTAGACCTATGGCTAAATCTCTTATTCATGTTGCAGGATTTGCTGAATTCATATATCACAATAAACCATAATAGCTGATTCCTACTTATCTTGTTTAGACTTATATAATAAACAGTAATTAAGCAAATTAAGGTTTATCTCATTGTACAAATGGAGTAGAATTTGTGGAATAATGGAATTCAAAAGTAATATTTCCTTTTAAAAGATTAGCCTTTAACAACCTAAAAAATGTGCAAAGAACTCAAAAGAGTATTTTTGTTGATTCAAAAAAAGAAACAATGTGATGACATGGACAAATAAATCATATCCAAACTGTTAATATATAAGGCTAAATGTGAAAAAAAAAATATCAAGGCATGAAAATCAGAAATGCAAAGTAATGAGTGCTTCAAATTACTTTATAAACAAAACTTCAATTTATAGTAAGCAATCACCTGCTTTACAGCAATAGAAAGTTCCAGTCAAGTTGGTTTCAATAACAGCATGCCAGCCTTTTGCACTTATTAGTTCAAATGGGCTAATAAACTGCCCTCCTCCATTGTTAACCAAAAAATCTATCCTACCATGAAGATCTAATGTTGATTTCACCAGTGCCTCTACCTACAAGGAAAAAGAAATTGGAGTGGTAAGGCTGATGTTCCATTTGCAGATTTCTGTCCAGCATTAAAATCACTACCTGGCCTTTTGGCTAAGATCAAGTATAGTTTCTATCTATAAACTTACATAAGTGTGGTATTTCTTTAATAGAAAATCCTTTTACAAAATAGTTTTGAGTCCTGTTAGAAATCATGATATGGCAGTTAAAAGTATCACCTAGAATATTCTATAACAAGGGAATTCCACAACAACCCAAGATTTCATCACAATGACAAAAATTCTGTTGTGATTTGGATTTACACATTTATTGAGTTTACTCTTAAACATAATTTATAAAGAAAGCAAATATTATTACCTATAAAACTCATATACTTATTGTATTATAGTTATAAGATCCCATCTTAGCCATGAAAGCCAGCTGGATGACTTTGAGCCAGTCATTCTCTCTCAGCCCAACCTACCTCATATGATTGTTATTGTGGGGAAAATAGGAGGAAGGTATGTTGAATATGCTCGCCATCTTGAGTTATTTGTTAAACAAACAAATAAATAAATGTTGAAGATAGACAGATAGAAAAAATAAAAATTATAGTCAAGGGTCCCTAACACAGCCGTCTTGAGTAAACAAACAAATAAACAAACAAACAAACAAATAAAGGCTGAAGATAGACAGATAGAAAAAAAAATAAAAATTATAGTCAAGGGTCCCTAACACAGTCCTGCCAAATGTGTTTTGTATCTGTCTGGCTACTAATGATTGAAAATTGAATATAGCATTTGATCAAGAGATTTATGACTTCAGCAACTCTTTGAACGGGAGCCAATGACAGTGGTTTCATAACCATTGGTCCTGTTATTTTAGTTGCATATTTCAGAACAAGCCTCTACAAAGCAAGTATGTTCCCACATGACATCTGGTAACATGATTTTTCCTTTCCTGGAAAAAATGATTAAGCCCAGTCAAAGTTAGAATATAATTTATATATGCAGCAGTTTACTGGATGTAGAACTATTATACTAAAAGTCACAGTTTGTAATGATGTATTCTTAACAAAGGGAAGCTGCAGGCAATGCTGTACTTGGAAGCTGTGCACCAAACAAGCAGAATTATTTATAGCATAATGATGGGAAAGCTTTATCAGCAAGCAAGGATGCCCTTGTGGATAGAGATTAAAACTCAGCATTCAACAAGTTTTCCCCTTGGTGGTTTATTTGAATCTGCTGTAACAGATTAGTCAGAGAAACAAAGCTGCTGACAAATGTAGACATATGAAAAATAAGGTATTTTAAGCTGTATACAAAAGAATTTCAAAAAAGGGACATTGATCCCTTTCAGAGTGATAATGTTATCTTAGTCCCTTAAGGGAGACATCTTTGTAGCTACATTTTCAGGAAACAGAGAATCCCTTTACTGATTCTGTCACAGAAGTTAAACACATGGCCAATTTTTCTGATTAAAGTGCATTCAACTGTAATATTCTACTCTCTCAAGTTTTGTGCTCCTTGTTCTTGGAAACAGTGATTTGCGTGAGTGTCAACTTTGAATATGAGCGTGGCTGCAGCCATTTTTCCCTACTCATTTTCAGTTGACACATAGCACGGAGGAAGGGGGGTTTAGCAGGTGCTACACTAGACAAAACAGACTTTCTCCCATGAGAACCAAGGTCATCGGCTGCTCCTGGGAGTGCAGGCTGGGCATTGGGGAGCGTAGTAGCTTGCATAGCTTTAGGAGTGGGATTTCTTAACTTTGTATTGGGGATTGTTAGGTGTCTATTCAGACCTGGTTTCACTTTTGACGTGCGGATACTTTGTATCAATAAACATGTTCTTTGAGGAACTTGCAAGCCTCGGATTTCTGCTTTATTTGTCTCTGTCTGTCGGAACCATGACATTTAGAATGCTATGTAAAATTCTGTGATCTTTAAATCATAGCATACAACCTAACAGACTGCACTAATTTAGAAAATAAGTTAAACTAAGCATGATTTAAAGTATTGGGCAATCTTAGGTAAAAGTGGATTTTGATATTGTGCTAAGCCATAATTTAACTATTATTTACCAATAACACCACAAGATGCCAAACCACACGGAGCAAAATGTGTTATAATATGGTGTTTCAATTTAGTTAAACTATCATTTAAAAAGCTATTTTTAACATATTCGTCTTTGCTGGAATTGATTCTTGACTCAATAGATTCCTTTTGGGAGGTTCTGTTCAATTGATAGCTCATTTTCTGTTTGCTTCTTTAGGATACACTTTGTCCTAAATTAGGATCAATTAACTTTTTTGTCATTTCCCACCTAATACTCAGTTTGTTCATTTAACAGCTCTGCCATGTACTAGACAGGAAGTTCAGGCTACAGGTCACAACATATATTTAAAATTGTATAGTACAGCTGAAAGTAGCATATGGTTGGAGATGAAGTCTAGGCAAAAGCCTTATACTGAGGCAGATCACTTATTCACATAATACAGTATTGCTTGCATATACAGGTAGTCCTCCAGTTATGACCACAATTGAGCCCAAAATTTCTGTTGCTAAGCGAGATAGTTGTTAAGTGAGTTTTGCCCCATTTTACAACCATTCTTGCCACAGCTGTAAAGTGAATTACTGCAATTGTTAAGTTAGTAACATGGTTATTAAGTGAATCTGGCTTCCCCACTGACTTTGTTTGTCAGAAGGTCGGAAAAGTGATCACATGAGCCTGGGATACCACAGCCACCATAAATAGGAGTCAATTGCCAAGTATCTGAATTTTGATCATGTGACCATGGGGATGCTGCAACAGTCATAAATGTGAAAAACAAATAATAATCAATATTCTTATCCACTGCAATAAGTGCTACCATTTCCCAAAAGAGATAATAGATTTAACCATAGTTTCAATTGGGAAAATGTGACCATCCTGGACTAAGTCCAAGTCCAAAAATGCCAGGGAATTTTTAGAAACCTGGAACTCTGACAAATCAGCCATCAATAGACATATAGATATTAACAACAGCTATAGACTATGCAAAAGAGACTATCACCCAGCTCCAAAAGGGGCAAAAAGACCCAAGCACCTCTCCACCAGCAATCAGCACCCGGACCAGCATAGATTAACTCCAAGATTAACATCAGACCAGCAATCAAGTAAACAATACCCCATCAGAAAACTGCCAAAGAAGCCAACAGCAAACAGCCCAATCAAAAAATCTCTAAGACCACCCCCACCAACACTGACAGGCAAGCCACTAGAATATAAACTGACAGCAAACAGCACTCCTTATTAGTATTGATGATGTTTGGGTAGTGAAAAGAAAACAAGCAAGCACAGAGAGCACCAAGGACCCTTCAGCAGAAGCCCTTTAACAAGAAAACTTCCTCTCACGTGAATGCTAGAGACTTTTTATTTATTTTTGTAATGGGCAGGTTGAAACTGGAAGGAATCACTGTTCCATACAATATGGCAGGTTGGGAACAGAAAGTGGAAAGCAATGGGAGAGAAACCAGCCAATAGGAAAAGGGCACAATGAATTTCACTGGTCTGCCTTCTTAGAATTCTTCATATTGATTTTTAATTATTTACTATGTCCCCTATATTCCCTTCCAACAAATGGCACTGAAAGAAGTAAACAATAAAAGTTTTTTTAAAAAAAACTACATACAATAAAAGCTAAATACAGGTAGTCCTTGACTTGTGAACATAGCTGAGCCCAAATTTTCCAAGACAGTTGTTACGTGAGTTTGCCCCATTTTATGACCTTTTGCTACAATTCTTAAATGAATCAGTGCAGTTAGAAACACAGTGGTTAAGTGAATTTGACTCCCCCATTAACTGTCTCAAAAGATGATCACATGATCTGGGACCCTGAAGCCGTGACAAATATATGCCATTTGCCAAGTGTCCAAATTTTGATCACATGACTGTGAGGATAGCAATAGCAATAGCACTTAGACTTATATACCACTTCACAGTATTTTACAGCTCTCTTTAAGAGGTTTACAGTGTCAGCATATTGCCCCCCAACAATCTAGATCCTCATTTTACCAAACTCGGAAGGATGGAAGACTGAGTCAACCTTGAGCCAGTCAGGATCGAACTGCTGGCAGTCGGCAGAATTTGCCTGAAATACTGCATTCTAACCACTGCGCCACCATGGGATGCTGCAGTGGTTGTGAATGTGAAATATGGTCATAAGCTATTTTTTTCAGTGCTGGTATAACTTCAAATTGTCAGTAAATGAATTGTTCTAAGTTGACGACTACCTGTACCAGCAGAACAAATCCTACAAAATACTATAGCATTAAGCCAAAATGTTTTTTTTTTCCTTTTCTAAAATCAAAGCAATTGTCAAATTATAATTTCATTTCCTTTCTCAGTAAATGAAACTTCACCTAAAGCAGGGAACCTCAACATGATTACTTTGATCATTCTTTTGATATCTTTCAAATTTCAGCATTGTTAAAGATTGATGTTACCCACAAAGGACATAGGATTTTAAAAAACTATTTAATAAAATGTAAACTACCTTAGAGTTTACAAAGCACCTGAACACACCCTCCTAATTCATGTAAAAATTAACTGGAAACAGCAATGTTTATCATTTCCGGCAGAGGAACTAGTATTTAGATCATTTCTTTGTTAATCTCAATATTGGATGACACCTTTTTTTTCATTGTAATAATGAAAAGAATAACCCAGTGAACAATACACTAGTCAAATATGGAAGACTATTTATATTTTTACCTCTTCTTCTTTGCGAATGTTGCATTGTATAGGAGTCACCTGGGCAGAACTGGTGGAGGGAATTTCAGCAGCTAACTCTCCCGCTGCAGCTTTTAATCTGTCAAGTTTACGAGAGGCAATAACTACATTACAACCTGCAAAACAAAACAAGAGGTATTTCAATATTAGTACCAATTGTATAAAGATTAAACCAGATCTCTTGCTGAAGTGTTAAATCTGGGCTAATCATCACTTCAGTATCACTTTCTGGATTTTTAAGAGATTACTGCTATTTGTAAGCCTACAAAGAAAGAAAACATGAAAATTGTGCTTATTCTAACCTGACATTTAGTTTATAAACTGTGTGCATTCCCTTCCTAGTATTGGGGCTAGTTCTTAAAGCATCACAAACAGCCTGAAACAAGGCAAGTCAATTATCAAAGTAAGAAGCAGTCAAAATTATCTCTCCCACAAAAATGACTAACTTCAAGCCCTTTAAACATACTGTTTAGAGAAAACAGGGCAAGAATTTGAACTTTGATTTCATAGGGCTTGCATTTGATAAATCCTTCCATAGTGGCTTTTTAGCTTGCCTACAGTAAATCATATCAGTAGTGGAATTTGACCAATCTATTAGTTCAAATAAGTAATAAAAAATCTCATGAGCCAAAGAATCATATCTTGTCTTAAAGCAGACAGACATTTAGTTTGGGAATTGACTAATAAAAAGAAAATAATAAAATGAATAACAGAAAACTATCCCCTAGAAAAAAGAACTATTAGCAACCATTTGTGGAAGAAGCTTACATATATTGTAGCAAAATTTTGTTACTTTTGGAGAAATAAATTTATCTTGATTATTTAACAGATAGTGCAGAGATTAAAGCTATCAGAGTGCCCCGAAATTTTTAAAAAAGAGGGCTTACTCCATCTAAAAGTAGACATTTTGTCTTTAAGATCTGAATAACAATGATAAGTTCATCCATTGCCAATTATATATCTCTACTCCTGGGAATGTCATCAATGCTTTAGCTGAGTGTTTGAAGACTGAAATTTCCACAAATTTAATCTATATCCTATTTTTGCTTTTTTTCAATTTTAGTTTCCCATCCATGTTCAAAGTATCCCAATCATTTATAATTTCAAAACAAGTTGTATTTAGCCAACCAAAAGAATCCCTTATTCAAAGTTCTTAACATATTCTTATTTCCCTTTTCATACCAAGACATAACATTCTGATTACAAATCCTAACTATCTAGAATCTATTCTTGACCATATTCAAACCTCTAATCAATAATATAGCATCCCCTCTAATAGGTCAAAGCTTGTTTCCTTCAGTCTTACTCTAGCTTTCTTTTTTTGCCAACTAACTTTCCAAGTCAGTGCATTTGGATCATCAAATAATTCTTCCTCTATATTGATATATATTATTTGGAACAAGAGAAACAATTTGGTTAAAATGTTTTTGGAAGAGCTAACCCATTGATATTTATTAAACCGCCTCCCTCCTTCTCTGGTTCCCCACAGTTCTATTAACGACTTTATCTTCTATTCCATCAGCTCTCCTTCCTTGTCATCCAGTATGTTCTGAAACCTTGGTTTATAAAATGTTTTTTCTGTTTCCAATATTATCATTATATCTTCTGAGTTTTCATTTATCTGACTCTGGTCATTTGTTTCCTCCTTTAGATCCTCAATATTTGTGTCAGCATTCTCTAGTTTTCCTTCTATTTTCTGGGTTGCTGATTTCTTCTCTGTAGTTGTATTCTGAGTTTGTAGATTTGAGTTAGAAAATTGTTCTTTTATCCCCTTTGTGTTATTAGTGACCTGCTCACAAGCTAGAATAATTGTTTTTTTTGTATTAATTTCAGCATGGAGAGAATTTTTTTTTTGTGTTTCATCACTATTTTCTTGGTGATATGACAAGTTAAGGCTGCTGGGAACAGATGTTAAAGATGATGTTTTACTATTTAATACTGGATAAGATAACCTTTATTGTCATTTTTTTACAGTGGGCACAACAGCACACATCAAAAATGAAATTTAGTTGCCCGCTCTCAAAGTGAAACACATACATGACACACACCTAAAACATACTATATACAACATATGTATAGACCCACACCCCTATGTATACATAACAAATAAATATTAAATACTGTCCATCTTGAATATATAACAGAAGGAAGAAGCTTGAAAAACATCCATTTTATTTTATTTTCTACGATGGGAAATATGAGGCTTCCAAAAGCTCTGGACAATTTGTCCCATAATCTCAGTGACAACCCTAATTGGGGCTATAGGGAGCTAATACCCAAACAATTTGAAGAAAATCAAACTTTTTCTTCCTCCTAGCCCGTTTCCTTCCCTTCCGATAAATCTCTGGGTCTGCTCTAGTAACTTCATAGTAAGTAACAACTTATTACAATATCAGTTCCAGACACCCAACTTCTAAGAGAGGGAACCTGCCCCTACTGAACTCCTGTCACTCTTGTCAAAATCATAAGCTACAATCAATGACACACAGGAACCCTTCGATCCTTCTCCACCTCTCCCATTCCCCCAGAGGAGGAGAGACAAACCCGCTCCCAGAGACTGAGCTCTCGCCTTTCGGACACCCTTTGCCCACCGAGATGCAGCAGTTCAGTGGCGATGGCCTTGCCGATGCCCGTGCCCCCGCCCGTCACGATGGCCACGTGATTGCGAAAGAGTCCAGCCGCCAGAATCCCCCTGCAGCGGTTGCTAACCGTCACCGCCATCTTGACAGTTCTCAACCACACTTTGGACCCTCTTAGGGGCCATTTATATTGCAGCGAGCGCTCCGGGTCACGTGACCAACCTCCTTGAGCCGCTCCGCCCCCCCTTTTCCCTTCTCTTTCGAAATCCGAACGCTACCTCTGGAATAGCGCGCTGTAGCAGCTTTCTCCCTGCCACACCCACCGGGGGTGGTGGGCGGCATCTCTTGCTCAATGCAAGCTAATGGCACGTGAACGGGATTGTATCTTTGGTTGCACGAGAGGGAGGGAAAGGGGGGGTGTTTCAAGTACACAATTATCATTCTTTCCCCTCCTCTTTTCCCTCGCAGCACAAAAGGTCTGTCTCCGCCTGGTTCCCTCTGTCTCTACTAGAGACTGGGGAGTGGAAGGCAGGAAGGGTAAATACCCCCCCCTTCCCACCCATTCTATTCTGTACCATTCGCGATCCCTGAGGAAGATCCCCCCCCCCAATAACATCAAAGAAGTGGAAGAGAATGGTGATGGGGCAGTAGATCATCTATTTCACCCCTGGTTTTGATTTCGCTCCCGGCATTGTCTCCTTGCAAAACGACGCAAACCGCGTTCCTTTTAAGGCAGAAGAGCTACTCGAAGCCGGGAGCGCCCGATCTGGCATCTGTCCCTTCCGGTCTGTTTCGGAGGGGCTTATTTCAGATGCGAAGGGAGGAGAGGTCCTTAGCCTTTTCGAATCACCTTGACCTCCTCACAGGAGAAGGAAAGAGCGGTTCAGGGGCAGGGACGGCGCTACCTTCCCGCGGAGAGGCGGAGGAACAAAAGCATCCTCTGTCCTCGGCGGTCCGGATGCCAACCCGTGGTATAATTTATCGGCGTTCTGCAGGCCTCGTTAATCTTGCGGGAACAGGTAAGCGTGGGTTTAATTTAAGAGAATTGGGACTTTTCCATTCGACTTCGCCATCCTTCCCTGTAAGCCTATTAAAGCAGTGGAAAACCGGGAATCTCCCACCTGTCTGCGGTCCCCAAAGCCTACAGAAGCTAGCCGGAGCAACTCTGGCTGGATTATTTGCTTTAAGAGATACCTCCCTTCTCTTCTTTAATTTGGTGTCCTCCAAAAGATATTTTGACCCAAACTGCTTTAGTGCCCTGGGATTGTAAGGTTTTGGCTTTCTGGAAATGATTAGCATAATCCTTCCTTTTTTCTTTTTTCTTAAGGGAGTCAGATTAGACAGGCTGACCTTTCAGATACAATTCTGGTGAAATTGTTTTGAAGCAGTGTTGAGTGTGTGTGTGTCAGCAATTTTTAAAAGAAATCATTGGGATTCCATGGGTCTCTCCGAAATCAGATGAATATCCTTTTACAAGTTTGGGGGTTTATAATGTTTTCTGTCCCACAATTGTATGTCCACCTTATTGAGCTCAAAACAATATAGTGGTCTCCTCACAACAGCCTGTGAAGTTGCCCTGAGAGATAGTGACTAGCCTAAAGTCATTAAGTGGGCTGAAAAATCTAGAGTTTTTTCAATCCAAGTCCAACTCTTTAAAGATTACACCATAAGGCATTGGGAAAAATTCCTCCCCCTCCACCCCACTTTTATTCACAGCCTCCTCTGCAGCAAAGGTTAATAGCTACTATTTCTCTTTCATATGAGGAATCTTGGAAATGTGTTCAAATATTTTGAAATCTTAATTGGGGAAGAAAAACGTTAATGGCATCAACTTAGTCATAACTGCTCTTCCTGATGTCTTTTGATTTCTGAAGTTGTTGATAAATAAGTAATTGGGAGTTACTTGCTATGCTTTAGGATGAAAGAAAAGTCAATGAATTCTAATGTTCTTCTAAGGCATTACCCTTTAGCTTTGAAGATGCATGAAGTTTACCAGTGCTTACCATGAACCCGTTCCTGTGTAAAGCAAGATACCTAGGTAGGTACTACCTAGGCCAGAATGGGAAGAATCTGTTTGCATAATAGAAGAGGCAATGGTTGGCCATTGCTCAGTCCCATGAGCCTAAATCACACAATGTTGCCTTACCTGGAAATAAACATACTGAAATTTCATGTACATAAATAGACATACAAAGCAATATACAATTAAAAAGCCAGAAAGTACGGGAATACTCCCCTCAGAATCTATTTTATTAAATATAAATACCCTTTGACATAGGAGCTAGCCAATTCACTGCTTAACTATTTCAGCTTGAAGGACCCCACCAGTTACTAATATGGAAACCACAGTTATGTGTTCATTCCTGCAATACCAGTGGCATTCCTCTTTCGTTCCTCCTTTATAGTCTTATAGTCTTGAACAGTGTGAGGAAGACAAAAGTAAAAGGCTTTTCCCCCAGCCCATGATCTTGCTTATAAATTTCTGAATTCCCACTGAAGAAAAACCAATGATTGTGACCAGGATTCCTAGGAGAGAAAGGAAGCTCTAATTGCCTTTCCTTTTGGTTGTATCAGGCAAAGTCATAGACTGAAAAGAAAACAGTGAGGTCTAGAAGGAGGAGGAAGAGATCAGCAATCTTTGCTTCTCGTTAGCTATGAGTCTAATCAGCTGTTTATTCTTAGATTTCCCTGTTTCTTACAAGTCACACTTTTTGCAGCCAAAGGCAAAATATAGTCTGCTTAGCATACCAGTAGTATATACACCCAAGCTATTAACAGCTATTATGCCAACTCTCCACTACACATGGCAGCACATATAAACTATATTTGTGTCATATGTTTACCCATGATTGATTGAATTGTGCTTTACTCAATTAGCCAACTTGTCTGGATTTTCAAGACACATTGTACCATATATTAACCATATATTAATCCACATGGAGAGCCAATTTGATGCAGTGGTTAAGGTGCTGGCCTAGAAACCAGGAGACAGTGAGTTCTAGGCCTCCCTTAGCATGAAAGCCAACTGGGTGACTTTGGACCAGTCATCCTCTCAGCCCAGCCTACCACACAGGGGTAATTGTTGTGGAGAAAATAGGAAAAAGGAGTATTAGGTATGTTAGCTGCCTTCTGTGTCAAAATAGTAAAAGCAATAAATAAAGAAAATAAAAATAAATTTACCCAATTTGATAGGTTAGGCTGTGGTTGGCTATTTGTAGCTAGGTGTTGTATGAATCCAGGCATAGAATAGTTATATGGACAAATACTTGATTCTGGCAACCACCTTGTCTGCTTTAGGCTAAATGTTATCCAGATATACAGTAGCTGCTGCTCATGTAAAATGTAAATAATTTATGGATCATTTTTAAAATCATTCAATGCATTCATAGCGTTAAAGTTTATTCTGAGGAAAAAGTCTTATTCTGTTGAATAAATGTATTTTAAATGAGTGCATTCAATTACATTGAACAGACTTAAATACATTGTCTGCTAGCCTGATTGACAAATTGCAGTCTGAATTCTTAGTCATCTTGCCAAAGCATCATCTGAATGGAAATTTGTTGAGTTAACCACAGTCTCATTTATCCAAGGGTGGTCTTAGGGAGCTTAATGGCACTTATTTTCTAATAAGTAGTTCTATTGCGTTGTCTGTGATGCAAACCAGCATAATGGTACTGCCTCTTGACTTCTATTGAAGTGGATTTTATCTTACCGTTAATACTATTAAATGTAGACTATTTATAGATTTGAATTATATAAGTTCAATTTTCCATTTCTTTCCTATTACTATGCTCATTTAAATTTGAATAATTGAATAAGAACGCATGGATATGTGTCAAGCTAATTTTGCTTAGTACTTGAAAGATGTGTATTTCTGTGATTTTTTTTCTTTTTCCTTTTTCAATTAAAATTTAAAAGAAAATAGAAAAAATATTTCATGGTCTTTTTTATCTATACAATATTGGTTGAAGTATGAAAGCTAAATACAAGAGTTTGAACTATGGGTACATGAAAGCAAATGCAATGTAATTACTATAATGTAATCTATGATTTATTTTCACAACTGGAATATAAAGAGCTGTCAGCTTAGATACAAAAATCTGCATGACCACTAGATGGCAGCAAAGAGAGTGTTTTGAGTGAGTTGAAAAGAATCAGAAGCAAAAGAAGAACAGGAGTTATATAGTATATTAAAAGTACACAACCCTGTCCCCAAATCCAAGTGAATTAATGTGATTATATTGAAGAGACATCTGGGTTAAAATAATTGGAGGATGGAATAAAAAACCATCCTCTATTATCACTTAACTAAGGAAAAGATGCAACAATGTGGATGATGCTTCTCAAGTATGACTTGCCAATTATCAAATAGATTGAATTATAATGATGAAAGATTTTACTTCCCCTGACATCTGCTCAAAGGCAATACTGCTGAACCTGGTCCTTGAAATTCCTGATTTGTTTTGTTGAGCGCTTCCTTTGTCAGAGGAAAAACAGCGTCCACGCACTTCCGGTGGGCCATTCTGGGCCTGGGAGGCCACCTCCAGGCCTCCGAGGCCTGGAATCGACTTCTGGAAGCAGCATCCACACACTTCCGGTGCACTGTTCTAAGCCTGGGATGCCTCCGGGCCTCCGAGGCCCAGAACAGACTTCCAGAAGCAGTGTCCATGCACTTCTGGAGGGCCATTCTGGGCATTGCGAAAAAGGGCTAGGGCAGCGGTTCTCAACCTGTGGGTTGCGACCCTTTTGGGGGTCGAACGACGCTTTCGCAGGGGTCACCTAAGGCCATCGGAAAACACATATTTTCGATGGTCTTAGGAACTGAGACACTGCTCCACATCCGTCTCTGCATGGCCTCCTCCGCCATTTGCAGAGAGAGACAGAGAGGCACTTTTGCTTCCCTTCTCTCTCTCTCTCAGGCGGATTTACCTCCTGCAGGGCTCCTGATTGGTCCTGTGCCCGGGTGCCCCACCCCCTGGGAGAAGTGCGGCCAGGGCCTCGTGGCCTTGGAGCCGCCCGGGGAAGCCGCGGGATCCCTGCTGGGAGCAGCCCACTGGAGTCTCCCCTGAGCGGGCCAGTCCTCCCGCAAGCCGTGGCCCAAGGGAGACCAGCCTCTACGATCCCTAGCCAGCCTGACCATTGGACCCGCTGGCCAGGAAGACACGCCAGAGTCCAGGCTGCCGGGAAGGAAGAAGGAGATTCAGCAAAGGTAGGAAAGGAGAGCCGCCTCCTGGGGCTCAGCGCTGGCGGCGGCTTCCTTGCCATCCTCTTCCTCCTCCCCTTCTTCCTTCTGCTGCCCCCAAGGAGGTCAGCCAGGCGCCAGGGCAAAAGGGGTGCCTGGGGGGGAGCAGCTGGGCTGGCAGAGGGGCTGGCAGGGGCCATGCGGCACCAGCCTCCACTGCGGTTCCATCGGATGGGCGGAGGGCGAGGCCGGGCAGCGTGGAGTCCCAGCTGGGGTGGTGGCAGTGGTTTTCTCACCCTTCTCCTTCCTCCTGCTGCCCCCAAGACAGCTCGGGCGGGCGCCGGGAGGAAGAGGGGTGCCTGGGGGGAGCAACCGGGCTGGCAGAGGGGCTGGCAGGCCGCGCAGCTCCAGCCCCCACCGCGGCTCCATCAATGGACGGAGGATGAGGCCGGGCAGTGCGGAGTCCTGGCAGGAGCGGCGGCTGGGCCAGGGGCGGCAGGAACCCCCGACGATGCTGCCATAAGATGCTGCAGGCCTGGGGCTGATGTCCCCGGGGGGCCGGGATATGATCGGACTCGCGGTATGACTGGATTATTTTATTCTTTTATGACTGTTTTTAACCTTGTACGCTGCCCTGAGTCCCTTGGGATTGGACGGCATATAAATATTTGTAAATAAATAAATAAATAAATAAATAAGAGAGAGAGAGAAAGAGAGAGAGGAAAGAGAAAGGGAGGAAAGAGAGAAAGAGAGAGGAAAGAAAGAGAAAGTGAAAGAGGAAAGAGAGAGAGGAAAAGGAGAAACGGGGAGAGGAAAGAGAAAAAGAGGAAAGGGTGAGAGAGAAGAGAGAGAAAGAGGAAAGAAAGAGGAAAGAGAAAGGAAAGAGAAACAGGAAAAGAGAGGAAAGAGAAAGAGGGAGGAAAGAGAGAAAGGAAAGAGAGAGGGGAAAGAAAGAGAGGAAAGAGAGGAAAGGGAGAAGAATGGCGCTTCTCCAACCAGGCTGGGCAGAGCGGCCTTCCTGCCCCCCCTCCCTGGCCAGCTGAATGGGAAGTTGGGGGTCACCACAACATGAGGAACTGTATTAAAGGGTCGCGGCATTAGGAAGGTTGAGAACCATTGGGTTAGGGCTTCAATGGGTGCCATCCAGTGATGGGATTCAGCTGGTTTGCCAAACACAACAAAAAAATAGCTACCGGTTCTCTTGAACCGGTACAAACAGGCTGAATCCCACCACTGGGATTTTACTATTTTTATGTGTTCATCACATCTCAGATGGAGTATATAACATAGTTTATTGGTCCCATAAGAAACATTAATCTGGGCTAGAAAAAAACTAGGTCTTTATCATTAAGAATGCTAGCTTTGCTGGTGAGCTGCAAGTTCCCATAGCTTGATGTAACTGGTACTTTTTATAGGTTAGGAGCATTAAAAAGAGTTGTTGGTATTGCCCTGCATTAAATGTGCTTCTACTATTTTCCACAGCAGTATAGTATCAGTAAAATAAATTACATAAATTTGCATTGCTTTGCTATTTGTTAATTCCTTGGTTTATATTAATTAATTAACATTAATTTTTCTTGCACTTCATTGGAACTATGGTCCAGGACACTCATGCATAATATAAATAACTTAGTTTTGGAGAATTTCAAATGAATATTTAAGCTAACTCCATTGAAAAATATTAATTTGAATTGATAGAAGATCCATGAACAATCTATCATTTTTTATTTACAATTGAAATATATTGTAAAAATAGGCTTTGTACTGTGCTTAGATATAAGTGCACATTAAAAAAAATACTGAAGTGCTACTGTACAGGTTTCATATATAGTAGATTTCATTTTACAGGCAGTATATGATTTTATTTGGAAGCCATGGTATATCAAAAGTTGCAAACCTTACAGATATTATCAGTCTTGTACAAAACCCCAAATAGAAGGCAATAAATAGGTGAGCTTGGCTCAAAACATAAGCAATATCAGACCTAACCAGTAGTTCAATGAAAATTCCAGAGCAAGAAGCTAGACTGGGAAATTGAAAAAACAGTCCAGAAGTCAACAGCAGATCACCTCCGTACTGTTACCCAGTTCACTATATGGACATATCCATGAAGTTACCAGGAACCAACATTTATTTTTTGTACTAGTATTTTGATAATGGGAAGTTTTGGGTTTCAAGAAATTTGTCCGACTTCACAAGATTCGTGGGTACAAATTATGCTTAAGAGGTATTATTTTGCTCAATATCATATAATAATAGGGATCATACATCTAACCAAACTATAATGTAGTTTTTATTGACACTTATTCAACAATAACAGCCAATCTGATCTAATGTTTAAGACACCAGGCTAGAAACAAGAAGTCTGTACTAATTCCAGCTTGGTCCAGTCACCCTCTCTCATCTCAACTTGCCTTATAGGGTTATTGTTGGTGGGGAAAATAGGAAGAGGGAGGAATGTTAGATATGGTCACCACCTTATTTATAAAAACAACAAACATACAATATAAATAAATAAACAATTAAATACATATATTGTAAATTCAGTATGGATCCAACTAATTCCAAAAAACTAGCTGTGTTTAGAAACTCATTGTTGGAACTGTTTTAAATTAGTTTTTTGTACTGTTCTAAGGTTTTCCTGCCATCCCAATGTTGAAACCCTTAACACGCTAAAACTCAGATCGCCCAAAACTGCTTTGAGGCATTTGTGGTTTAACCCAATCTTTTCCAATGTGAGGTTTTTCATAGGCATTAGGATTTCTCCTCTCAGCATTACCAACTTGTGGAAACTGAACCACATCACATCTGGAGGACATCAGGTTGGGAAGACAGCTTAAGTCTTCGTTGGTAATAGCTGAATTGGGGAGACAGATGTTTGACATCTGCAAATTCATGTAAAAATAAATATTACTATTTCTAAGTTTTCTGCCAATGTTGAACCTCTGTTGAAATTGTGATACTGGTTTAAACAGGTTCTCCTGTGTGAAATCACTTAACTCCCTCTTTTTACATGGCAAATTGTCTCAATGTTTCTTTGGGCAATTATAACATGTCCATTTGTGTTTAGTATATTGACACACTCCTAATTTACCAAGGTTCTTATAAAGAATATGTGCAGATTGTGCTGTGCAATAGGAAATCATCTAAAGAAATAGCAAGAACTTCAACAAAGCTCGCTGGAAGAATTCTGCATAGTAACAGTCAATTCCCAATTTCTAAAAATTCTGTTTTCACAGCAAACACTCCCTGGGCTTTTTGCAATAGAAAGACTACTGTCTGTTGTTTGTGAACTATGCTGCTACTGCTGCTGCTTTCTCAACAGCAGTAACAGAACATCTCTTCATTCACATTCCTTTCTTTGAAATCCTAATCCTTTTATTTTCTCAGAGACAGATTTATGCAGAAATATATAGAAAAAGAGGTGTGCCTTCGCAGTGATTTCAAAATGGCCACATGAGCAATTACACAATCTGGATTCATGCCACTCACTAGGGCAGAGGTGGCTGGAGGATGTAACAATAGCATTTGAGGGAAATGAGGGTAGCAAGGAGGAAGGTGATAAGGCAAAGTGGCCAGGATTGTGTTGCCCGTGCAAATGATTCTCTCCACCAGCATCCCATTTCCCCCCCCCTCAAAGAACTTAATAAAGCTGATTTTAGAGCTTATGTCAGAATTTTCAAGTGGTGGGAACCCATGCTGTTATTTGTTGGCAATTATTTATAATCCAAGGGAGGATTGCAAAACACATTTGCCTTAAAGCCCCAGGTTGGTGTTAAATAGCAATGTCAATCCGTAGCTCCGTTCTCAGCTGCAGAGGCATTTTCTTTGGCTGCAGAAGATACGGGCCAGCTGGGCAGGGCTGTTGGTGCTGCGGCTGCGAGATGAGACTGTGGAAAAGACCACGGTATAGATAAACTGGAAGTTTTTAAGAAGAAACTGGACAGCCATTTGTCCGAAATGGTATAGGGATTCCTGTCTGAGCAGGGGGTTGGACTAGATGACCTCCAAGGTCCCTTCCAACTTTATCATTATTATTATTAGATATATTTACAAGATATGGAAGAAGCTTGTCGATGCTTTGTGAGATGATTTTCAACTTCCCAGTTCCTGCTGCTTTATCATTCAAGGACTAACCCAACTCAGCCTTTTCCAGAACAAATGAAATCTTTACATTTCTTAATAGTGAAGTGAAATAGATTTTCAGGAAGATGATCTCCAAATCTAATTTTCATAAACACTATTCAGATAACCGGAACAGTTGCACTGAATAGTCCAGTGTTAAGTTCTTGTGTGCAGAGTTACAATGTGCTTTTCTTATCAGCTACCAAGACAAAAAGGGTTTTAGAAGGGTTGCAATATATTTTTCCAATAAGAAGATTAAAATGCCCTCAAGTTGAACTTGATTTCTGGGAATCGCACTGGGCAAAACATACAGCTTTGTTGGTAGCGTTAGAGAAGTGGTTTGCTATTGACTTCTGATTTTTTTTTTTAAAAAAAAGTTTTCCATTCTCTATAGTTTCCAGCCTCTAATAGTCCGAGAGCCTCTCATCCAGATACTATAAATACCATATTCATCTGTTCCTTTCTTACCTAAATTCACTTGAGGTGTGGGAGGGAGGGAAGGAAAGAAATTCTCTGGACTTCTTAGAAATAAAATTTCCTTTCTCATCTCACAATCTTCTGAAACGGCCCGCACTAGAGGCTATATTTACAAACATTCTACAAATCAACACATACATTGGACTTCAGATGTGGTTCTAAAGCCAGAGTAACTGGTTTAATGCAACATGCAACGGCAGATGACTTTGTGTGCTAAGTGTGACTCCAGCAAGAGTGTTAATTTTGGGTGCTGATTTTAAATTCATAATTGGGTCACGTTTCCTGAGCATTTTCTCTCTTTTTCTCTCACTTTTAGGATTCAGAGCGGGCGGAAGTCATTCAAGGCTGGAAAGGAGTTTGCATTGCTGAACTGAACACATCCCTTTTCCAATGATTATTTTTGGCTCGTAAGGGAAGAGAAAACATTTTAGAAAATCGCAGAAAAAGTCAACAAGATGCCCAGTGAAAGAATTCAGAGTAACTGTGGGCCAGAAGCCCAAATTTCTGGGGAGAGCAAAAACAAGGGGCAGAGCTCTCCTTGCAGCTCCTTACACAGAGCTGTGGCTGTGGCTATGGCTGTGACATTCGAGGGAGAAGCCAGCACTGAAAAAAGGAAAAAGAGGAGGAAAGAGTCCAGGCCAGAATCAATTATTGTTTATCGGTCAGCGACAGAAAACAAAGTGGAAGAAGAACAAGCAGAGGAGGATGGGATTGAGAAAAGTTCTGAGGAAGGCTCCAAATTTTTGGGATACACTCTACGAGATGGTAAATGCGTTGAAATAAGTGGTTTAACATTTGTTGTGCATGTTTTATTTCTTCCAATGGATGTGTTAGGGAAGGAAATGACACCTTTTTGCTTAGTTTTCAGGTACTGACTACTACAGCTAGTAGTAGTACAGTCTATGCATATTGTGTTAAACCATAGTTATTTTGTAGTCAGTGCTTGAACAAACTGTGGACCCTGAATTTGCACATCACTAAGCCATCATCCATGATTTGCAAGCCACTACAGCTGTATACACACATCGTGTTTAGCCTAAACAAGTTACAGACTTTTGTACAAAGCCAGCCATAGGTTCTTTGTTTTCCTGAGCTTTCTGTTTTCTAAAAAAAAAAAAAAATGGAGAAGAGTATGACACATTGTTTTGCTTCTGTATTTTCCATTCAGAAGCTATTGAAAAATACTCCTTTCCATTTCTGCAAAGTGGCCTTTATATCACTTGATATTGTTTAATTATTACAGTGTTTGCATTATCTGCCCAAAGGGCCTTTTTTGGTCTCTGTCTGCCCCAATAGGTAGATGAGACCAAGTAATCAACTCCACAGGAAGATTAAAACTATTATTACTGAGACTGGCTAGAATAACAGAATTTTGCAAACCTGATTATATTATATGTGTTTATAGATCAGTGATTTAAAGAAATGTCTGTTAAGTTGCTTCCAAATATTATCTGTCTGTTGTGCACTTAAAATATGTTTAATTCCTCGTTGCCCTAGCAATAGATTTTTTGTATCTCTATCAAAGTCAACTTCCTAACTCTCCATACTGTCTGAAAAGGACACACAGGGGTAAATATTAGGGGCCACTTTAGAGCAACAAGAGGGAAATCTAAGCCAAGAACTTTGCAGTTCAATGGTTTAGACCAGGAGTAGGCAACCTTGGCTCTTTTATGACTCGTGGACTTCAACTCCCAGAATTCCTGAGCCAGCTGGCTCAGGAGTTGAAGTCCACGAGTCATAAAAGAGTCAAGGTTGCCTACCCCTAGTTTAGACTTTAGACCCTCTTTATTTTCTGCCTTAGAATAAGAAACACGATACTACAACAAACAGATTGAACTAACAAACCATGTTACAATGTGTTCTGGCTTTTTTGTGCCATTCAATTACACTCTGTACTATATTTGATCAGATTTTTTTCTGTGTAGTTTTGTATGTTTGTCAGTGCCTTAGATTAAAAGTTTATTCTATATCTGAAGTTTATGTTAGTTTTCTTACACAGTCTCCTAATTAAAAGGAGTGGATATGAATGTGATTGCAATTATTGAAGTAAGTCCCAATTTACTCCATGCCAAGGAAGGATTTTTTTTAATCTATTCCCAGAGAGGCTTGTTTCACAAGGACTGATAAGGCATTGACAGATAGGTTCACGTAACATGTCATGCCAAAAAAAAAAAAAACCCTTAACCCAGAGAATGCCAGGTTAGAGAAGTCTGCATAAAATGCAGCAGAATTTCTATCAAAACAGTGAATCTCAGCTTTGCCTTTTGTCTTGCACTGATTTAGCTCTTCTGTGTTCCCAGGTTCATGGGCTATGCCTTTAGATAGCAGGTATGTTACTTTAACTGGAACCATCACAAGAGGAAAGAAGAAAGGGCAGATGGTAGACATCCATGTTACACTCACCGACAAAGAGCTGCAAGAACTGACTCGGTCAAAGGAGCTTCCAAAAACCGAAATGCCTGAAAGGAAGAAGGCTTGTCAAGTTGGGATGGATAAAGGCCCCCATGTTCTTCTCTGGACCCTTGCCTGCCTCCCTATTATTTTCATTATGTCCTTTATTGTTTCCTTTTACTATGGGACCATTACTTGGTACAATGTCTTCTTGGTGTACAATGAAGAGAGGACCTTTTGGCACAAGATCACCTTCTGCCCATTTCTAATTATCTTCTATCCTATCTTCATCATGGTGGTTTCTTTCTCTCTGGGCATTTATACAGCAATAACTCAAATCTCCTGGGCCTTTGGAGATTGGTGGCATGCGGTGAGGGATATGGAGAAAGGATTTTGTGGCTGGCTCTGCAGCAAGGTGGGCCTGGAAGATTGCTCTCCGTATAGCATTGTTGAGTTGCTAGATTCAGATAACATCTCAGGGAGTCTATCAGCCAAAGGTTCAGCACAGGGTGAAGAGGTCTCGGCTGTCTGAGTCTTTGTATTAGGAGATTGCCTATTATGAATATACATAAACTGATTGTTTGAAGCATGCACAAAAACTCTGATGCCAACTCAAGCATTTGGAAATAAGACCACACATTGGTCATTTATGTGTAGTATGTCAACATGAAATATTTGTTTCCATTTCTGTGGGGAAAAAATGATCTTTTCTGTAGAAAGCAGACATGACCTGGAGAAAGATTCTAGCCTGGCTGCATTTTCTATCCCTTGCTATTATTTAACATGATGTGGTTTGATATAACCTCAGGTGACAAGGAAGAGATGCATGTTTGATGCTTAGAAAATCTCTCTGCACATTTAAAAATTAAGAGCAATTGAGAAGGCTGGGTTGAAGCCTTTTCTCTGATCAGCTTGTTTCCTGGGAGCATAGATTTTTATAAGATCCCATGTTTAATTCTAGGCTCCTGCCTAGAGTGAAATGATCTACCCATTTTCTACTAGATTCAGCAGTCCATATGAACCAAGGGATCATGAAAAATCAGTACACTAGAGAAGAATCTCCTGTTCCTTGATAGGATGAATATGGTTAATTGTCTTATAAGTTTAGCTAGTCTGATCCGTTTCAGTTGGATAGTATTATGCAGGATAATAGAGTTGGGCTGCAGACATTTGTATAATCACTGGATAGTAGTAAAAGGTTATAAAAATATATTTCTTTGCTGCCATCTAGGGATTTTCTGATTTTTTTTTGCAGCCCAGAAGTTATTGTGGTTGCTTAGGTACAAGAAGAGTAGTACAAAGAGAAAACGGATCCCAAAGTTTGCTATTTTTTTAATAAATCTTTCTGTGGACATTCTGGTCCATCTTTCAAATAATGGCTGACAAATGCTGGTGGATGAAATGCATTTAACACGAGAGTGATTCTGTTAAGTGCAAAAATCCATAGCTTGACTCAGAAATTAGAATCACAAATATGATTTCATGAAAGAAGCCAGGAACCTAACATATACAAAGATATGTGGAATTTGCTTCCCATTTTATCCAGCCTCTTCCAATTTCAATAGCCAACTGAATTTTAAGGCAACTTACTCTTGGTTATGGGATATAAACTGTAACATCTGATTTAATATGTGAGCAGAAAGCCAAGATGAATTTAAATTAATTAATGAAAGCAATAATTGAATCAAGTGAAATATCTAGAGGAAATCAGTGCAATATACTTGGGATGATACAATGTCCCAAACTAGAATCTCCAACATATGACATCTTCAATGTTGACTTCAGATGCTCACCAGGTTTTCTGCTCATAGGAAATTGTTCAAATGCTTACTTACTGAAAACAATGGGCAACTTACTTCCACTGCTTACTGTGAAAATTCCACCTACCTACCCAAAACAAGCAAACAAAACAAAAATAATAAAAAACCACTTGAAAGGGCAGAGAAACAAAAAGTAGTAGGTGGAATTTTGGTAAATCAGTGTTTTGTAACTGATTTTATCTCCAACGGCGTATGTGTAATGGACAAGCCATTTTCCCAGCCAACATTTTGTGAGAGAGCCTACCTCTTTTCAAAACCTAAATGTATCTACCAGACTTTCCTGCCCCAAATTAGCAGTCATGGGATAGATCATGAGTACATGCCTTGTTGACTGCCTCAACTACATAACCTATGGTACTGATGTCAGAAATTGCACAACATATTCAATCTAGCCATTTCTGTGGGGCAAATACCATAGAATGTGGGGCTACCTATGATGCAGAATTTACTTGTGTTATACATTTTCTTCTAGTAGTATATGCATTAATAGCCATCTTACTTCAGAACAGATCTGTTATCTTCTGTGAAGTAAAGAAAGCTGTGACCAACTGGTGGTGCTATTGTATTAGTCTATTTTATATCTGTCTAAACCGCAGAGTCTTTCTCTCATAACAAATCTTTGGTTGCCTACTATTATAAAGTGTTTGCAAATCTGACTGTCTATTAAAAGCCATGCTATTGAAAAAGCACAATGTTCTTTCCTTCCTCTGCTCAGAGTTTGATTGGGTGTATACTGATGTAACATTGTAAACATTTTTTTAAAAAAAATCATTTTGCTATAAATCTGTCCAGGCAAGTTATTTTCTCAGGAACAATTTTTGGCAAATTGTCAAAACAACAACCACAAACCTTATCTGCTCATAGCACTGACTAGGTGAATCCTGTGATATTACCACTCCATTTTTTCCATAATTGAAATAGTTTGGCATTTTTTAAAAATAAAAAATGCTTAAAAGACAAAGATAATGAATAAACTTTTGAAAATAAATGTGATGTGCTAATAATTTTTTTAAAGCAAAAAAAATATTGTTGCAAACATGGATGGTGCCATATTCTTGTCTGTATTAGATCCATTGATATTCATTACCATCATTTATATCAGGTTTCCCTAGTTATATCTTTCAATTAAGTTGGCTGAACTATTTTGCTATGACAACTATTTTAAATGTTACATCTGTACTGTATCACCCATTTGTTATTTTGCTGGAATGTTCCAAGCCGCTTAATAGCTGAATATTTGTAATGGATGATTTAATGATGCATTTCATAATTTTGCTTTGGGGAGCAGGTCTCCTTGAAAAGTGGCCCCCACAGTGTATCATCCCCTCATTTCACTTATATTAAACTGCTTTAGATGGATTTATGCTGTCTTTCTGTAACTTCTTTCTGCTACATTTTTCTTCAGATTTACTTCTGAAGATTTACTTTATTACCTTCTTTAAATAGGCTGGTACTAAAAAAAAAACAAAAAATCTTTCAGAACTTTGAATTTAATTCCACTTTCATTCATTTTCAAAGGCTTCAGTGATATTAAAATATGTTAAGTAATATCAGGATGAACAAGAAGAAATGATGTTTTTTTGTGGCTTCTTCAGAACCAGAAGCATCTGTGATTTTTTTTTTATATGAACAATGTTATTTGTTAAAATAAAAAGGTCCTTTAACTACCCAACTTTTATCTTCCTCATTCTTCTCACTTTGGAAATGTGTTCAGGAGAGGGGGAGATTCTCTTCATCTTTTAAAAAGAATTAACTTCTGGGAAAATAAATTGTAAAATAAATCTAAGGGAGATGAGCAGTTAAGAAATATGAAATATAAATAAAATATTCAGGAAGAATAATTCCCACTTCCAGAGAACTATGTTACTCCCAAGAAATTTAATTAAACCGTATTTAATTAAACCATATGTTTAATTAGCTTGCACTGTATTTTTGGGGCTCTGTGCTGATTTGCAATAAATTTTGAACTTGAGGTAACACAAGCTTCTTTGGGAACAATTTTTGACCAGATATAAGATTATCCTGTGGCACATAAGATAAAATAAATATATAATTGGAAACTCTTGGTTTTTAAAAAATAATTTAACCTGGGAGACAAAGACAGGCTACCCGTACATTTGATAAATAGTTTCTTCTGAATGAAAATATGCTTGACTCTGTAGGTTGAATAAATCATCTGTATTCAAATTCTTTTTAGGCCATTGGCAAGGAAAAATAATAATTCCCAAGTCTGTGAGATTTGTTGTGGGATTGAATTAAAATAAATGTTCCACCACTAAGCTAAAGCTCTTCCCCACAACAATCATATACAAACATCATGGAATTTTACTCAACTATATCTTATGTTTCCTGATTCTTATATGCCTCTTTTCAAAGCATCTTTACAAATCTCAGAACATAATTACTTCCTGGAGAGTTCCTTGCTATGATTTATTTCAATAAAATGTTTCTACCACATCAAAACTTGTCCACATCTTCATCTGCTTATGATATTTCCACTCGGAGCAAGTTTCAGTTAGAGTGTCAATGAATACATTGCTTCAACATGGAGGAAATGGCTTATTTAACATCACACAGCATCCATTCATACAGATTCAGGGCACAGCTGCAGCTCTTGAAGTTAGGCGCTCTTTCTTTGGATATAGCAAGAAACTTACTGTTTTCCATTTTAAAGTTTAGTGTTGGGTGCTCTTGCTTCAGTCACTTCAGACCTGGGTGTGGCAAAATCAGACCTTGTTTAAGAGGAGATCACTCTTGTCAGTGGAAATAAGCAAGATCTCTTCAAAAGTCATGGTTCCTTCATCTTGGCAGAATTCCTAAACTTTATATAAGTGGTACAATCTGAAAATGCTGTTTAATATACTGTGTCCTTCCTGGCAAATATATACTGTATGGTAGTAAGCCAGAATAAAGTTTGTTCACTTTTCATTCCATGTCTTATATTTAATTTTATAGGTAGTCCTCAAGTTAACAACCACAACTTGGACCAACTTGAATTTCTGTTGCTAAGCAAGGTGTTTGTTAAGTGAATTGCTGCTAATTTTACAAACCTTTTTTGCCATGGTTAAGGAAATCAATGGAGTTGTTAAGTGAATCAGGCAGTCATTAAGTGAATCCAGCTTCCCTTATTGACTTTACTTGTGGGAAGCCAGCTGAGATCATAAACTACTGTATCATAAATAAATGCTGGTTGCCCAGTGCCTGAATTTTGATCACATGCAATAGTTGTAAATGGAACGACAGGCTGTATGTCACTAATTTCAGTGCAGTTGTATGTCACTAATTTCAGTGCAGTTGTAATTTTGAATGGCTGCTAAGCGAATGGTTGTAAGTTAAGAATTTCCTTTACAGTGGCTCAGTGGCATTGCAGAACTGCAAGGAATTGTACCTAACCAACCTTCACTGTGCCAGAAAAAATAAAAAGCAAGTCCATTAAGAAAGCCAAGGATGTAGCTTAGATTAACCACATCCCAAAAAATTAAGCAAATCCAATAAGAAATTCAAAGCTATAGCCTAGATTAAGAAGTTGGAAAAAAAAATCAAGAATGGTGCAATAGCTACAAAACATGGGTATGATAAGGACCTATAGGAGCTCTATCTTTGGTTCTTTAGTTGGACTGTCTCCAAATGGTCACTGCAGGGGGCATCTTTTGAAAGCTACCTTCAGAGAAGACCTAGTTAATTCTTAGGTAAAAGTCTCCTAGGGTCTAGGGTTGTATGTTAAATTAAGAAGACGCACAAATGTACCCCCTCATCCAAAAGTCAGAAGGAAGTTATTAAGCATTTCTGGACTGTCAAAAAAAAAACAACCTTTCCTGGATGTGTTCATGAACTTCCCAAGATATGAGCTCAATCTGAAAAAAAAATCAGTAATATTTACAAGAAACTAGCAATGCCAAAATAAGGGCATGTGAATAGTGACGTGATCATAAAAACTGCCAAGACAAAGTGCATGAGATGACAGACTTTGTCATTTGCTCCCTTGTTCTTACTGGCACCACAGATGCCCATGGAAATTTTGCCTTTCATCCAAATAAAATTAATCAGACATTAATATCTATATTGCATGTAAATTCACAGTTTCAATGGTTTGTGTAATGACCATCACATATTTAATGGGTGTCGGTTATCAAGGGTTTCCAATCTTGTGATAAACAAGCACAAGAGACAAGTCCTATATGGAACAGCACTGATAACCACATGTCTGAAATGCCAGTACAATATTATGCAAAGAAGGATCGTTGGAGCTAAAATGTTCTGAAAGATTTCATGAAACAAACACTGATTGCGGGTTAATACATAGATTCTTACTATTAATAGGGTTTCTGATAGAGAAGCTATTCATTTCTGGCGGTTATTAAATTTATAGAGTGATTAAACTATATATCCAGACAGCATCAGTCCAGGGTTGGCTTTACTTTAAGAGATCCAACATTGCTTTTCCAAAGGTGCTTTTTCCAAAAGGCAACTGGACTTTCTTGGTGTTTTCTTTGAAAACATTTCTCTTCTTCTCCAAGAAGCTTCTTCAGTTCTAAGAGAAGCGAAGTTTTCAAAGGAAAAAAAAAACAAACAAGAAAGTCCATCTGCCTTTTGGAAAAAGCGCCTTGGGGACAACCATGACCCGGATGGTTTGACAATCTCCACAGACATCATTGCTGCTATTTGTCCTGCGGTCTCCGGTTACAGTAGTTCTTTCCCAGCCGCGATAATCGCTCCGGTTTCTCTTAATCTTGGCGCAGCCATCAAGCGTCGCTGTCGGCTTTATTCTCAGTCTGGAGGAAGGCGGGACAAGTTTCACTGCCGTAAAGCACGGAAGAGTCGCCGGGATTGTGGCGGGAGACCGTGAGCCTTTACAGGATGTCGCGGGCAAAGGTAACGTGAGAAACCGGGCTTAGAACGGGAAGAGTGCGGTCAGGGTGTTTATAAATGCCTGCCTTTTCCCGCCAGAGATGGTAGCAACCGGGCCTCACGAAGGGAATTTCTTAGCATGCAGAAGCTTAGATCAATTGATCACCATCCTCCTTGTCTGTCGGAGCTGCTTGATGCGGATTGGTTACCTCTTAACTATCACCGTGTTGACTTCTATACCCACGACGCTCACGATTGAACTTTTCTCTCCTATACCCTTCTCTCCCCCCCCCCCCGCCGTAGAGCGTTTTGTTTTTGTGAATGAGAGTTTTCGAAACATGGAGAAAAACTAGAAGTAAACGGATGTAAATGGATCCCGCTACTAGGGAAGTTGATGTAACAGGTTGCAGAAAGTCAAGGGAGCCAGAGCTATCGATTAAGCGGGAGGTGGATTTCCCAGGAAATGGGATAGTTCATGGTGCACTTTCTGCTGTTAAACGACAGATGGTCCCTTGCCCATTGCTGGGAGTCGGGCTGAATCATCATCATCACGTCTGTACATAAAATAATTTTAATAATAATAAAAATTTGTGCATTGACAAAATTTCTATCTGTCAGTTACAAAACGCCCCACTGTCTGAATCTACAACCATACATTATGACATCCTAGTCCTTGAGAAGAACTTGTGGGGAATGAAGG